ATGCCCCCCCCCCCCACCGCCTTCACCCCCTCTTGTGTAGTCATCATTGTGGCCACTAGGATGGGATGTGGGAACAGATGCTGAACTGGTGTGTGGGGAATAGGTCTGACCCCACGTAGGTCTGGGGCTTCATCTGTGAAACAACGTAACCGTGGCAAGGACGTCAAAGAAACCCGGCTCAGGAACATGTCCCAAAGGGGAAGTCATGTTGAAGGAAAGTGCATCGTCTATTGATGCAACGTTGTTTGTCTTTGTAGCACTTTCTTTAAGAGCAGCATTGGGTCTGGCCGGTGTGGCTCAGTGGGTGAGCGTCGACCCATGAATATATATATATCCTGTATTCATTTTATATAACAAAGGTATATTCCCCTTTAAGGGGGGGTGGGCTGTGGAATGGATCAGCGGGTGGCAGGTTAGGTGACAGGCCGCCTGCGGAATGGAAGTGATGGTGAGCTGGGGCTGGACACTGAGCTGGTGAAAGAGTGGCCACACATCCTCTTAGTGGATGAGCCCTGGCTTCACTCTTACTATTTCTTCCCAGTTCTTTTCGTGTTGGTGTCAGGGCACAGCTTAGTGGTGAGACAGTCCTGTCCTTTGCAGAGTATTTCCAGCGCCCCTGGCCCCATACACAGTGACGCAGAATCACTGACTGGGCCCCCTGTGCTGGGCTCCCCCATCTGGTGCTGTAAGACTGACCTACCCCAGGCCGTGGCCTGAGGACCTGCCAACTCGCTACGTGCTGTGGGCCGGGCACTGCTCTCCGGTGGCACCGTGGGGGCCATGTTGCCGGGCAGAGAGAGTTTGGAAATCTGTTCATTCTTGTGCAGATCCTGGATTCCCTGAGACAGCAAAGAACAGATTGACTTGTAATCATTGCTTTTTTAAAAAAATATCCCAGTGGTTTATTTAAATGTGACTCTGATTATTTCTCCACAGGCTGGTACAGAGGATTTGCCTTAAAAAACCCAAATATCAAGGTAAAAAAAATTATTCCTTCTAACCACAATTACGGGATTTAAAAAACCAGTTATTTTGTTTCATTATCCGATGGAAATTGCAGTTGGGGCTCTGCGTGGAAATGCCGCATGGCAAGACAGATTTTCATAAATTGGAAATTCCTTTGAACTCGGATTAGAGTTAAACCTCGCTACTCAGGTGATAATCCCGTGTAACGCCGGCGGTGTGTCCCGTGAAGACCTTAATATGCTCATTAGATAGAAACAGAATCTTTTTGAAGTGTGAGTTTCGCAGAGGGCGAAATTAAAATTCAGGGGGGAAGCACAGATTCCAAGAGAAATACTAACGTGAGATATTTATTGTTAGGTTTTCTGCAGTCTCGTTTGTAGAGTGTTGGTTGGGGAGACTGCTTTATGCGGCCGTGTGTTAGGAGTTCCTCTGGGTTTCCATGAGGAAACCAGGAAACCAAGGGCTCATCTCTCTACCACTCCAGACGGAAGTGAGACGCATTTATCTGTTTGCAGAAATCTTCAGAATTGTAGTCGGAAGTGATGATTTTTGTTTCACCTTTCATTAGTGCAGTTATGATTTTTTAAACATATTTTTATTGATTTTAGAGAGGAAGGGAGAGGGAGGGGGAAGTAGAAGCATCAGTGATGAGAGAGAATCATGGATCGGCTGCCTCCTGCATGCCCTGTACGGGGGAGGGAGCCTGCGACCCGGGCGGTTAGGGAATCAAACCATGACCTCCTGGTTCATAGGTTGATGCTCAACCACTGAGCCATGCCGGCCGGTCCGGTTTATGATTTTGACGCTAATCCTTACCTATATCTATATTTTTCCTCTTTATTCTAATCTCCCTAGCTTTCACCCATACTTCCTCATTCTCTAGTATTTTTTTTTTATATATATATATCTCATGTTCCTTTTGTTGTTGTTGAATTCTGACTTTATTAGTATTATAGATAAGAAATTGTGTAATTTCTCCTTTGCCCATCTTTCTGCCTTTTAACCTTTTTCTGTACAATGCAATGTGGTTTAATTCCTTTGTTTTATTTACTTTAGGCCATTCTAAAGGAGAGCCTGAGGGGCCATGGAGTATACAGATTTAATTTTTTAAGACTTAGCCTCATTGCAAGTTATTTTTGGACATCTGCCGCTCACATGCAAATGTAGCTTCCTTATGTAATTATCCGTTTAGAACTTGTTTGAGGAAAATAATTTATTTGGCTTCTGTTATTTCTGTCATTCTTCTAATCTCAGATTCGGACTTTTTCCTTATTCATTATAATTTCTCTGTTAATCTTACTGTACTGAGAAAGGTTTAAATTTTCAAGGAAAAAAAAGTATTTTTAAGCCTATTTACCTCTTTCCTACTGTTGTATGTATAGAATTTGGTTATTAAGTTTTATGGGATCCTTGGATCCACAGTGGTGATAATGTATTCAAATGACATTTGCTTTCCTAAATATTTAATTGAATTTGTCACTTGATTATACGTCAACAAAATCATTCCGAGGATATTGTCATTTAATGGACAATAAAATTGATGCTCATTTTTAAAACGTTGTTCCTTTCAGTTCCCCATTGAGAACAAAGGAACAATGGGCTTGTCCTGTCGTTGCCTACAATGACAGCTCTGAGCGGCGGGGCTCCCGGTGGTTAATTTGGTGCCACCGCCACGGCAGCGGGTGATTAATGCCGCTGTTCGCATCAGGGTCTCCCGGAGCACTGACTGCCCACGTGGCCTCCCAATTCAAGTCGCTGCTTTAGTGGATATTGTTAAATACACACACGGGTGCTGTGGAGAGAAGAAGGAGAACATCCCAAACAAACCACAGCACCAAAAGCAACCTTTTTGTCAAACCATGCCATATTTTCATAAAATTCAATAGAACATGCTCCCTAGGCAGCATTCCTAAATTTTTTTAAAATTTCTCTCTTATGAAGTATTTTTTTTGAGTGAGCTTTAATTTTTTGGTTATGTTTGTTTTAGAGAAGCTTAACTTTGTACCCCGGTGAGGAGTAGAAAAGGAGTGGATCTGAGGAATGAATGGATCCAGCCTTTCAGATGGGGTGGTGATGTGGTCCCCCCTTCCCCCCTGTCCACGTTGCTATGGTTGTAGGCTGTGCGTTACCATGTGACTGTGAAAACACCCCACCTTAAAGACGGCTCGCACCCTCACCTTCATGCTTTCTCTTCCAGGGCATCTTTCCTTCCAGCTACGTTCACTTGAAACATGCCGGTGTGAAGAACAAAGGGTGAGCCATGAGTTTTGTTCATAGCCGCAGGGTTTTCACAGAACCGTGGCTCATTCGGAGATCGGAAAGGCGTAGTTCGTGTTGACCAATGAACGGCAGAAGACGATGCCGCTGCCCGTGCCGTGCGGTGAAGAGGGACAGTGCCCGGGCAGTGGGTGGGGAACGTGAAGGAGCCGTGGGTGTGTGCTGGACAGGGTGGGCTCTGGGGCACAGTGAGGGCCTCCTGTCCAAGGTCGCGGTAGCAGCAGGGCTGGGCCTTGCTGGTTTCCTGCTGTGCAGGGAAGCATGGTGGTCAGGCCACCGGATGCTGAGTCATGTCTCAAACCCCAGGAATGTCCTCGGTTCACCGCCGAGTGCGAGCAGCTACGTCTGTCTTTCTGATCAGAGATAATACCCTATCCTCGTGTGACCGCTTCACAAAGCCGTTATTACACTTCAGAGAACACGATTTCTGGGCTATTTCTTTTCAGTCGAGTTCATCGGCTACCTAGGGCTTTTCATGCATTTAAAACGTTTCTCCAGTCCCTCTTCAGAACAACCCGAGGCAGCTACCCAGGTCCCCGATCAGTCAGATAAAGTACCACAGGATTAACCTGGAGGACGTGCTCACTGAAGCGGCTAACGTGAGCAGATCCACATAAGTGGCCGTGGATTTGGACCCAAACATTAGCTGTCAGTGTCACAGGAATATGCGTTGCATCATTGGGAATATTTTTTATTTTATGACAAAAGAAAGAATACAGGTTCAGCCATGAAAATGACATTTTTCCTCCTACAGCAAAAAAAACAACAATTTCTTTGCATCATGAAAGCACATTTGGGAGTGTAGTAAATGATACCCTCAAACTTGAGGTTTCCCAAAGGAATTCCAAGGATGCTATTGGAATGGACGATTCTTACACACACTCTCTGTGAAGGTAGGGTGTTCAGTCTTAGTGCGGTGAAGTGCCTTCTGCACATGGCTGAGTGTCCCTCTACAGATAAGACTTAAAGACTAGGATTTGCTTCTACTCTATATCTTAGCTACTTTAAGCTAGATGATTATTAGTAGTAATAGTAGTAATCAGTGCAAACAGTAGTTGAGAACTATCATTATTCCACTGCTAATAGTTACCACTCCTCCTTCTCTTGTAATTAAGCTGTGTCCCTCAGAAATGCCGGGTAGCCACGATCCACCAGAATGAGTCGACAGAGTCATCGGTCCTGTGGGAGTTCCCCCGCCTGGCGAGGTTGGGCGCTGCCCAGCACTCACGGCAGCCAGGGGACCATCCAGCTTACTCTCTCTTCTGCCCTGGCTGCCCCACATCTGGGCGGGGCAGTGTGCAAACCCCAAGGTCTCTGCCTGGTCCCAGACAGTGTCCACCATGGCAGACCTGTGCGGCCAGGCCTCTGTGCGACCTTTGTCCCAGACCCCCCCTCACTCCCTCAGTTGTCCAGAGCTAAGGGAAGGACCCCCAGCCCCGTCTCCCCCTCTGAAGGAGGGATAGAGAGGAGAGATGCCAGCAAAGACAATGACTGTTGCCCCGTGGGTGTCCTACCTCTCGAAGCAGAGTTGGGTGGGACATAGTTTTCATTCCAACATGTGCCTTCTTTTCCTTATTATTATTTATTTTGGTCCTGGTTTGTCGCTGTCTCATATATGGCCCTGTTCCCTGAGCCCTGAGGAGATTACATGTAGGTAAAGGGGACTCAAAGTTGGGTTCAGTTCAAGACTTGGCTGGCGGTGGGTTCTCCCCCCGACACAGGCAGGATGGGCATTATTCAGGACAACGTGGAGGCAGAACCGACATTTATTTTCTAAAACACAATCTAGGGATTGAAACCCTAGATTCTGGGACTGGTAACAGGAAGCAAAAGTTGAGCCTGAACACATTGCAGAACCAGTCTTCCCAGGTGACTGCTTCCCCAGAGAGGGGCCTCCTGGGGTTTTGATGTCATCTGTCCCATCCTCGGGGCCCAGCAGCCTCACGGGGCCCCGGCGTGAACTGGCTGCACAGTACACCCCAGAACAGCCGAACAGGATGTAACCTCAGGGGCAGCTACTCATGCAGGCCACTCGGATGTTGATTTCGGTGTAATTAACAGGAAACAGCTGCTTTTCCCAAAATGGCAATTTTGTGCTTCTTGACAATTTACATTTTGGTGGAACAAACCCAAATCAGCGTCCTGCAGACTGAATTGCCTTTGCGTTCTTTCCCGGGTCTCCGAAGGATTGCAGGACGGGCGGGGTCCTTAAGCTGAATCCCGGTTTGTGAGCAGCGAGGCCACTCTGTGCTTCATGCCTGCGGGGTCAGGCCACTTTCGAAAGGTCAAGTAGGTTGTAGCGTTTCCCTGGAGACATGCTGCTCCCTCCTGCACCTCCCACCCCATCATTTTATCGTCTCTCTCTCTAAATGCCCATCGTGTTGACCGCAGCCGCCACTTCAAAAGCAGGACGCATGCCCCACCTTTGGAACATGTCACCTAGCGACTTGAGGAAGGGCCGTGTATGTCACAGGACGTGTGCTGTTGTTCACTTTGTTTCTAGTGGCAGATCCCAGCCTCACCTGTCCAGCTGTGGCTAACCCCTGGCAGGGAGGGAACTGTGCACAGGGCTAGGACGTTAGCAGCAGTGTGACATGCGGAGTGAGGCTGTGCTGGTGAAGGAGTCAAGGCGAGATGTCAGTGCCCGTACTCACTGCCAGGAGGACTCTACAGGAGACGGGTGTACATGGGACACAGCTCTGGAGCATGTGTGAGCCTCACGCTAAGAAGTCGCTGTCTCTTGCTGCTCCAGACCACATGGTTCTGTGTCTGATACGCTGTTACCTTCCATGTATGAGATGCTGTCCTTAGAAAAAACCCAAGTGAAGAAAATACGCCCCGTTATATACTCTGAAGCATTCTTTTGAGAAGCAGTCGTAATGGCCACTTAGCCATTTTAACCTGCATAAAAATGGGAAGAACTTGAAAAAGAAACTTGAGGCAAAGAAAAAGGTTATTGTGTGTAGAGGGAACAAATGAAGTCTTCTGGTTTCCCCCCTCCTCTTTTTTTTTTAAAATGTATTTTTATTGATTTTTTACAGAGAGGAAGGGAAAGGGATAGAGAGTTAGAAACATCAATGAGAGAAAAACATCGATCAGCTGCCTCCTGCACACCCCCTACTGGGGATGTGCCCGCAACCAAGGTACATGCCCTTGACCGGAATCAAACCCGGGACCCCTCAGTCTGCAGGCCGACGCTCTATCCACTGAGCCAAACCGGTCAGGGCCCCCCTCCTCTTTCTTATGCATCTACCCAACGCGGGACCACCATCCTGGCCTTACTAGATAGCGGCTGAATCCTTTCCAAGCATAGTTTCTGATTTATAGAGAAGAAATAGGAGGACTGTAGGCCCCAGTCACGGGAGGGACATTCTACAGTGCACATTCAAATATCTCTAACGGCTTAAGCCCTTAATAAGCTTTACTATGAACGATAACATCACTAATCGTTACAACTAATCCTTGTCCCGGCCCCGTGTACAAACGATGACAACGAGTGGGAGTGACATCAGGTGAGAGTAGGTTGGTGCCTGGTGTCTAGTTCCTTAGAACACGGAGTGAGTTTGGACTTGGCAGCCTCACATCCTGGGCATCAGTGAGCCTGTTTCTCCCTCAGGGCCCTGTGTTGGGGCTCAGAAAGCAAAGCCACGTCCCGGTGTAGGTGAGCCTGGCGGCCTCACGGCACAGGTGAGGGCTTCGGGCCGGAGAGGGTAGAGCTACAATCCTGCGGTCCGGCTGTGGCCGGAGCAGAGCTCCTCTGATATTGCTCCTTTCTCGCCGCACTCCTCCGACTCCATCGGAAGCGTGGCTGGTCGCTCGGGGGTGTAGCCCCGTAACCCACGTGGCCTGCCTCACGCCAGTTTAGCATTTGATCCTGGTCACCGTCTGCAGAGCCAGAAGCGCCAGGCGGCTTCCTGCCCTGGTTTAACTTGAATGTTCTCCAGAGAAAACGCTTGTCCGTGACGCTTGCCTGTGTGCTGTGTTTCTCTTTTTTAACGTCACAGACAGTTTGAGATGGTGATTCCCACCGAAGACTCCGTTATCACAGAAATGACCTCGACGTTGCGAGACTGGGGCACCATGTGGAAGCAGCTGTATGTGGTAGGTGGCGTTCCCGGGCAGCCTTTTTTGGGTCAGGGAGTTGTTTTAAGAAACATCTGAGCAAGGGGGGGCCTGGACTGGCATCCGGGCACCTGCTGTAAGCCCCCCCGGGAGTCAGGGGCCAGAGCGTAAGAGGACATCTTCTTGGCATCCGGAGAAGCAGGGTCGAGGTGACAGACCCCCAGGGCTCTGTGCTGGGCCACGGCAAGGGAAGCGCAGGTCTCCTTGGGACGTGAAAAGAATATGTTGTGAAGAATCTAAAATTCAAGAATTATTTTACTTAAAACAGCATTGTGCATGACATTAGCATGAAAAATGAAACTATTCGAACTGCTCAAATTAATGCCTCCTAAGTACTCAACAGGAGACTTATAAAAACGACAGTGGAAGTGGTATCGGTTCATGGACCTAGACCCACACGTTGCCTCTTCTGTGGGGAGCAAAGTTGAATTTCCTCTTGGTTCGGCCTTTCCTAGCGAGCTTTGCCTGGTTTTGAGGTTTCGAGCATCTGTTCTGGGGACAGACCAGATCGGCTTGAACATCTGTGTGTTAGGCTGTAGGAGTCGCCTCCTCACGGCCTGGTATTCGGAGCGATGGAGACGGAATTACTGTCCAGTTTTCCTGGACACTGGACTGGGCGTCAGTTGTACTGGGAGCAAATACCAGTTTACCCTGGAGGTCCCAGACGTGTGGCCTTGAGGATGAGGCTGGCGTGGCTGGGTTGGCCCTCCTGGGTCTCCTGTCCGGGTGTGAATTCTTGGGCGAGTGCGTTGGTGTAAGGTCCCCAGGCTTGGGTGCAGGGGCTGCTGTCCCTGCTGTTTTCGAACAGTGCAAGGCACCGAGCTTCCCTGAGGAAAGAGGTTTGAGGAGGGCGGTTGTGTCTCCTAAATCAGCGGTCGCCAACCTTTCGGACCTCACGGACCACCAGTTGGCGACCACTGTCCTAATCGTAGGCAGCACGCGAGAGTTGCTCTCTGAGGGCCCTGGGCGCCTACGCACGTGGCGAGCGCTTCCGAACCGCTAGCTGCTCCACGTGGTGACATCGGTGAGGCCCCCATGATGTCCCTGAACATGTCACCTGACACTGGGCAGGGATACAGGCACGGAAAGCCTCAGGGAGACACGCAGCCTTCCGTCTGAGTGATGTGTGCAGGCCTGGGCGGGGGTGGACTGTCCTCCGGGGAGGTCTCCTCAGGTCTGTCCAGGGCCCCGGGCTCAGGGCTGGGGGCTGAGTCTAAACCTAGTCCGTCTGCTGCTCCAGAACTAGGACTGTGTCCATCGTAGGTGAATAAAAACTTCCCCATCTCTAAACCACTCAGTTCTCACAATTAAAATTTGCTACACTTCTTTCATGGGTTTTACAAACGTTTTCTGTATTGATTAATTAGAGAGAGAGAGAGAGAGAGAGAGAGAGAGAGAGAGAGAGGGAGGGAGAGGGAGAGACACACACACAGAGAGAGAAGAGAGAGAGACAGAGGGGGAGAGAAACATCAATAGTTGCCTCCAGTACTGCCCTGACTGGGAATCGATCCTGCATCCTTTTGATGTGTGGGACAACACTCCGACTGAGTCACCCAGCCAGGAAACAGTGTTTGCTACCTTTCCATAGTGTGGGGCAGAGCTGAGGAAAGGAGGATTTGAGGGGGAAAAGGAGGCAGAGGCGGCAATGGGAGGCACCGTGGGACCCAGACGCAGCGTCTGTGCTGGGCAGTCTGGGAAGTGACGTTGGATTCCTGGGGAGGCAGCAGTGTCATCACACGGAGCGGGGGACGCGGGCACGAGGGCAGCATCTGTTAGGAAGAATCTGTCCCCACAGAGGCGAGCTCATAGGACATGCCCCCCTCCTGTGCCCCCCGCCCCACCCCGGCTCTGCCTGGCGACCCGGCTGAGGCTGCCGTTTGTGTGTTTCCCAGAGAAATGAGGGCGACCTGTTCCACCGGCTGTGGCACATCATGAACGAGGTGCTGGACCTGCGGCGCCAGGTGCTGGTGGGCCACCTGACGCACGACCGCATGAAGGACGTGAAGCGCCACATCACCGCCCGCCTCGACTGGGGCAACGAGTGAGTGCAGGCGGCGGGTGACACCACCCGGGCTCAGCGAGGCGTGGGGCTCGCCCCGAACGCAATCTGTGGGGCTCTCCCGTTGTCCCCCTTGGGGGTTGAGTACAAACGGTCCTGGAGGGAGCCCAGAGCCACATCCCCAGGGCTGGGCTGGTGTGGGCACGGGCGCTGTTGGCTCGCTGCACCCGTGTGGCTGATGGCGCCCGAGCTCCCAGGCACGACCCCTGGCAGGTGCATCAGCTGTGGCTTCTGCACCCACTGTGGCCTCAGGTGTGGCTTCTGCACCCACTGTGGCCTCAGGTGTGGCTTCTGCACCCACTGCAGCCTCAGGTGTGGCTTCTGCACCCACTGCGGCCTCAGGTGTGGCTTCTGCACCCACTGTGGCCTCAGGTGTGGCGTGGGCACTTCCTGTGAACAGGCAGCTCCGTGCCATAGGCATGGGCGCCCTGCGACCCTGGGGAGACGCTGAGGTTGCAGCTCCCGAGTGGCCATGGGAAGCTGGCGGGAGGTTGTGAATCGGCTCTTCCCTCTCCCCTGGGGGCCTCTGAGAGGTTAAAGGGGTCAAAGAGCGCCCACACTGCTCCCCAGAGCGCCCCGATGTCCCTGCCTGGCCCGCAAAGGCCATGTGGGAGGAGGCTTGTCCCCCTCCTTCCTGGGTTCCCAGGCCGGTTAGGGGCTGAGCTGACACAACCTTGACCCCCCCCTTCCCCGGGCTTCCCGGATCCTGTGTGCACCCCTCCATCTGTCCCTTCCTGTCGCCTTATTTCTTCTTGTTTTGAAAGCACTGCTCTGATCCTCCTCTGGGAGCCCCGAAAACACAACTGGGGGGAGGCTAGCCTAAGGAAAGCCCTAGGACTTCGCAGCTTAGAAACCTCAAACTCTCTGCACTTCCTTTCCCAGGACAAAATTATGTTCGACTCTATCTCCACCCAGTCCGACGTGGGGGGGCTCCGTGCTGAGTCTGTGGGTGCTCGCGGCTCCTGCTATAGAAAACCAAGACCCCCCGCCCCCCGCCCCGTGGCAGGATCCCCCCACTCAGAGTGCCAGCCCCTCTCCCCTAATTTGCCCGCCCTTGTCACCTGTTTCTCAGCCCCTGCCCAGGGCCCCGCCTCGTTAGGTTGGCTGCCGCAGCCACGGTAACAAGTCGTACAAAGTGAAAAATATGGGCGAGAAAAGTTTGGTGGCTGAAATGTCTCATTTCAAAGCGAGGTAGTAAAAAATAATGATTTTAAGTATTATGCTAAATGAAATAAGCCAGTCAGAGAAAGGTAGTATCCCATGATCTCACTCAGATGTGGAATCTAATGAACAAAATAGATCCAGAGACAGAGAAGCAGGGAACAGACTGTCGAACCTCAGAGAGAAGGTGGGGGAGGGGGGAAGAGATCAACCAACGAACTTGTGTGCTATATGCATAATCCGGGATACAGACAATAGGGTGGGGAGGGGTGGGGGTGGGCTCCATGGGGTCAATGGGGGAAAATAATTAATTAAAAAAATATATATATTCCCTAAAGGTGCCTTTTTCTCCCAAACGTTTGCCTCTGCTTTCCAGGCAGCTGGGCCTGGACCTGGTGCCCAGGAAGGAGTACGCGATGGTGGACCCGGAGGACATCAGCATCACCGAGCTCTACCGCCTGGTGGGTGCCGGGAGCGTGGGCGCAGCTCGCTCCTGATTTTGTGGTTTCCATGGCACTCTTTGTACTTAATTTTGCAAGAACAGGATGTTCCCGGTTTAATCCGGAGCGAGGAGGGAGGATGCGAGCTGAGGTGACCGTGCCCTGAGCACAGAGCTCAGACGCTCACCTGTCCCAGAACACGGGGCGCTCCCCACTCAGCCCTCCGCTTCCGGGCCCAGGGCGTAAACCCAGACCGTTTCTCTTGCAAATCTCTGTGCTTTTGCCTAGTCTAGTGAGATGCTTGCAAGCCGTGCGTGCGCATCTGTTGTGCTTCAGGACAAGGCTGTGACTAATGGTGTCCAATCCTTCCTCACCCACGCGCACCACCATCATGATGATGTACAGACTCCTGCCAGTGTCTCCTTGGTCCCCACTGCTGGTCTGACTCTAACCCTCCCACCCCCAGTCCGTTCCTAAGAGCTGAGCCATAGGGATAGACCCAAACAACTAGACCTGACTTCCCTCTCTTCCCTTCACCAGCTCTGTGATCTTGGACTTACTGCTTCATCTCTCAGAGCCTCCGTTTCTTCATCCCGTTCATTGGGGGTGTCATCCTTATCACGTGTTTATCATGAAAGTTACATGGGAAACGCATGTAGAAAGCCTTTCCTTGGCAGGCAGTGTTTGCCAAGTGCCTAAGCATTCGGGCGATTTCCATTTGTCCCCTTACCTTTAGTTCATCCTTATTAGCCGGGCAAGGCGGCCAGAAGGATGGGTACCTGACACGCTAAAACCTACGATTCGATGGGCTATGTTTGATGATGTAAATGATAACAGCTTGAACATGATAGAGATTTATTTCTCTCACAATATGCAAGTCCAGAGGCAGGAAGTTCTGGGCTTGTTTGTGGTTTCCTGGTGTCAGAAGGGGACCCAGGCTCTTTTCCTTCCGCTCTGCAGTGCATGGCTTCCGTTGTCAAAATACTTCAAAGCACAACGTAGCTGCCAGAGCGCCAGCCATTGCAGCTGCTCTCCAGCGGCAGGGATGAGAAAGGCTCCTCTCAGTTGGTTCAGCTGTTTTAAGGAGCCTTCTTGGAAATTCCACACAACACTGGCACTGGTAGCTCATTGGCCAGAACATAGCCACACCCTCGTATTTAGGCGGGGGGTGTCAAATACTGTATTTGATAAACAGCGAACAATGCCTGGTGCAAATACACGTTACTTTCCCTGGTTTGATCTTGCGGGCCAGCAATTTTATCTCCGTTCCTTTCGTTTATGGTTGCATGTGGGATGGCAAATGGATCTCATCTTTCAGCGTTCCGGCTTGGTGGTGGTGGCTGCTGCGGGTGCCGTGTTGATGAGATTCAGGGGTCTCCTCTGGGCTGTGATTGATGGGCACTGACTGTGATTGGGGGGAAGAGCCACCACTAATTAGCCATGACTGCCTGCCTTGGATGGCTTGGTATTTTGTTTTGTCTTTAGTATTTTATAGCTCCAGTCCTAGTCCACAGTCTCCACTGTACAGGTGAGGAACACGGAATGCTGTGATTTTGCATGGACACGTAACTTCTCCTCTGTAGTGGTTGCATTTTTGTTTCTAAAGCAAAGAAAATAGCCCACGGAAAACCCCAGTGATTCCATGGTGTCTTCCTTAAGGCAGCTCCGGGTGCCTGCCTAGACCCGGCCTGGGCACCCAGGTTGTCTGTGACACTTGGTCTTTTTCTCTGGGTGGCATCAGAGTGACTGACAGCATCGACTTCCAGGGAGAGGAGAAAGGTTGTCCTGGTGACTCATTGTCACCCGTGGACCAGGGACCGTGGCATGGAGCTGCGAGTCCCACAGAGGATGTGGCCACGTCTCTTTCCCAAGCATCTTCTCTGTCATCTTTCAGACGCAGGTGTTCGCAACTCCCTGGGTCCCCTCTTCATCATTAAAAGAAAACTCTTGCTTTAGGCTTTGGTAGCCCTGTTCGCATTCATTCTCACCCAGTTGTGCTCATCTAAGCAGGAAAGAGTGCTACCCCCCGTTGTTAACGTCTGTGCTCTTGGAAGGTTTGGGCTGCTGCCGAGGGCAGAGCCCAGCTTTCGAGTAAAGGGCATCGTAGCCACTGGCTTCTCTGGACACGTGAGCCGGCGAGAGGTCTGCGTGGGAACCTTTCTTGGTTTTATAAGATCACCTCCCCTGCTTGTTGTGTGATCCTTCGTGGGTAGACCAGTAATCTCAGACAGGCAGCCCCACCCCCATCACCACCGAGATACTGGGCAATGTCTGCAGACATTTTAGGTGTCACAATTGGGGATGGGGGGGCCGGGGTGGGGAGAGGGGCTTTGGGCATCTAGAGGGTGGAGGTCAGAGAGAGAGAGAGAGAGAGAGAGAGCTGCTGACAATCCCACAAAGCCCAGGGCAGCCCACAACAGAAATATCCAGCCCTCTTCCTTCCCCCCACAAAAAAAAACACCCCAGAAATATCCAGCCCAGACTCCCTAGAGCTGAAGTGAAAAAGCCTAGTGGTGAGGATTCACCCAGTAAGGAACGCACTGTATATAGGTTAGACACTTGCGCCCCCCCAGTCTTGGGGTGAATCTGTTTTCCTAACCAGCGTCTCCTCAATGGTGAGCACATTTGTTTAGAGTCCCTGGCGCTGGAGCCGTGAATTATTTCCGAGATGGGCTCTGCCTGTCTGTTGTGACTCCCGAGTCACAGCTCGTCAGCGGGAGCGTGCCTCCAAGGTCTGATTTCGGCGGTGTTTTCGCCGGGATATTTTTAGCAGTTCCCCAAAGTGGTGAATTACCAGGAGGTAAACAAGTGATCATCACCTGCTCCAGTCCGGATCCTCCCACATCGCAGGCACAGGGGGTGGAGTCGGGCGGGCTCGTTACTAGCGGGCACGCCGAGCCCAGCGGTGCCCAGGTGCCGATCACGCAGAGATACTGCAGTGCCTTCCATCGGCTGGGATTTGATCCCTGCACATGACCTCAATCCGTGATGCTCAGCTCACTGCACATTAATGTCACCCGGGGTGCATTTGAAAGACCACTGTCTGCAGCCCCGTCCCCTAGAAACTCTCACTTAATTGTTCTGGGTAGGACATGGGCATACAGGCGGGTTTTTGAGCTCCCGTGGCGGTTGCGTGTGCCCCCGAGGCCGAGGAGCAGGATTTTTTTTCCCCCCCCCCCCGCCCCGCCCCCGAGGGTCAGGTGGTCTAGTTCTTCCCTCCCTCCCTCACACGGGCAGGCTGATATTCGGCCTCTGACAGTTCCGGTGATGGCTGTGTGGGGTGAATGGTCGGTCCCCGTCTCCTCACTGCCGGTCCTGCCCCCGGGGGAGCCTCGGCTGGCTGTCCTGAGGCAGAAAGGACAGGTGGACGCAGGCGCTGTCCCCCGCAGACACCTCGCTGGCTTTCGTGGGTCGGTGTCCCAGGGCCCACAGCAGGTTAGAAACGCGTGCTCTGGTAATCGAATATCACGCACCACGGCCTGCCCCAGAAAACTACCATGATTTTGCAAGTTAGTCAACTTGAAAAGAACTTCTCGTTGTGAGGAGTGTGACGTCACCGCTGCTCTGGCTAGCTTCCGTCAGTGCGATGGTCGGTCAGCGGCGCGCTCGTCTGATGTTTAAGGACGGCTCATGATTTGTTCTCGCCCTGGGCAGTGGTCAGGAAGCAGTCAGACCCCTTGAACGGCGGGCTTGAGTCGGCTCAGTGCCTTGGTATCCTTTTAACATTAATGATTAAGAAAACAAGATTCCTCCGTGGCTTGCCAACTTGATAGTTTCTTACTTTAGAAGTTGGAAGAAAATTTGGAATTTAACATCCGATTAGATTCCAAATCCAGAGCCAAAAAAAAAAAAAAAAAAAAAAAAAATTACAGACGGTCCCCGGCTAATAAAGTTCAACTTAGGATCTTTCGACTTTACGGTGTGCACATGCAAAAGCAATGCGCATTCGGTAGAAACCGCGCCCCGGGTTTGACTTTTGACCTTTCCTGGACTGCCCGTAGGTGGTAGGGTTCGCTTTCGTGACGCTGGGCAGTGGTGGCCCCCAGATCTCAAGGGCCAACCACCTGTTCTGCACAGGGTTCTGTATTGTTTTTGGATTTTGTGTTCGTGTTTTCATGCCCCATCATGCCCACCTGTGCTCCTGTTTCTGGTGAGAAGTAGAGGAATGTGATTTGTCTTGAGATGAAACTCAAAATAATGGCCCAACTGTAGGCCAATGTATGTATTCTGAGCAGTTTAAGGTGGGCCAGGCTCAGCTGTGATGTTCGGTGGGTTAGATGTATTTAGTGCATTTTTTAAAAATACATTTTTATTGATTTCAGAGAGGAAAGGAGAGGGAGAGAGAGAAACATCAATGATGAGAGAGGATCATTGATCAGTTGCCTCCTGCAGGCCCCACACTGGGGATGGAGCCCGCAACCAGGCGTGTGCCCTGACTGGGAATCAAACCGTGACCTTTTGGTTCATAGGTCGATGATCAACCACTGAGCCACCCGGCCGGACATCAGTGCAGTTTTGACTTGGGCTATTTTCCTCTTATGACCAGTGTGTCGGGAGGTGACCCCGTCGTGGGCTGGGGACACCTGCATCGCACAGGACAGCAGGGTCACCCCGCAGCTCACTGGGCGGTCGCTCCCACCATCCCGTGGCTGATCCCGTGTCTGTGGGGTGTCCTTCAGATGGAGCATCGGCACCGGAAGAAGGACGCGCCGGCGCAGGCCAGCAGCCACCACCTCTTCGTGCAGCTGAAGAGCCTCATGTGCTCCAACCTGGGCGAGGAGCTCGAGGTCGTCTTCTCGCTCTTCGACAGCAGGGAGAACCGCCCCATCAGGTAACTGCGTCTGGGTGCCGCCGGGGCGTGGACCAGATGACCCGGGTCCCGGGCGGGCGTGGACCAGATGACCTGGTACGCGTTCTTCTCTCAGCCCCACTTTCTGATTGGTAGGGCCCTGTGGTTTCTACGCTTCCTACCATGTGGAGGTTCCCCTGAAAGCTAGACGGGGTGATGTATGAGAAAGTTCTAGCAAAACGCAAAGGGGCTGTAGGACTGTAATAATCATTCTTACGTGAAAATAGGACTTGATATCGGGGCTGTGTGGGTTACTTTGTGTGGATAGTTCAGGGAAGATAGAATAGCTCGAAGTCTGCTTGCTTATTAGTCAGCACATGGCAGCTTTCCTATTTACAGTGAATAATACCCTATTCTCATCCCACCTGGATCAGAGGATACCAGGAGATGATCAGTGTACCCGGAAGCCTTCCCACTAAAGCTCTGGAGCTGAGGCCTGATGAACAGTTTCCATATGTTATATGTGTTCATGTATTTTCTTCTTCTTTCCCGTGCTTTGAGTCTCACCTGTTGTGGTTCTCTCGAGGCAAGCTTGCAGTATTTAGTAGGAACTTATACTGGATGTGTTTGTGTGCCTTAAACTTTCTATACATTTGGTTTTTAAAGTTGAGCATAACACACACCATCGTTTACATTAAGTTTTTTCCAATTCAAATTTAGAATATATGTTGTATCCTACAAATCCATGCTTTAAAAAACACATCAAAATACGTAGATACCGACAGTTTTCAGGAACACCAGGCCACATGTATTGTTTTACAAACACAAAGTAATCCTGGAATATTTCTAGTTAAAAAAAAAAAGGTTTAGGACATATGCATGAAGCTTATTTTTCATGCACTGATAGCCGTAAGCTCTCTGGTGAGTTACTCTGTGCCCAGCCTGCGCTCTGGAATCAGCAGCCACCCATACTCTGCATTTGAGCCTCCTCCGGTTGATAGCAACTGGCATGGAAACCTCTTCTTTCAAAAGTTTATTAAAAATTTTATTGAAGTAGTTGGGGTGGTGTCGCTTAATAAAATCATATAAGATCCAAGTGTCCGCTTCTGTAATATTAAGTCTGTTTTGTTCGCGTGTTTGTTTACATTCTTGGCTCTACTTCGCCGGTTTTGTCCGAAGTGGAGTCAATGATGGTTGTCTCGGGGGCGCTTCTGTTTTCTAGAAAAGTTTCGATGTCACGCGAGTGATCTAACGGGTGTGGAGCCCGCCTGGGGATGACGGGCACCCGGGAAAGCGCCCCGTCCGAGCTACTAAACAGCCTTTACGACGCTAACCTTTTTCTCTCCCGCAGCGAGCGGTTCTTCCTGAGGCTGAACAGGAACGGGCTGCCCAAAGCCCCCGACAAGCCGGAGCGGCACTGCTCTCTCTTCGTGGTGAGTGTGCCGCGTCCTCCCCGTGGCGCTGCGTGTTATTGAGGGGACGTGGATCCCTGTGAGCCAACGCAGGCGATTTGCTTAAACTTTGTAAACGACACGCAAAGGCCGGGAGTGCCCGGGACTCGGACAGGGTCGCCCCTGCGTTCCTCTCAGGCCCTGGAGTTGGTCACACTCTCCCCAGAGTGCAGGGTGGTAGCTCGCCTGGTGTTGGATAGGCGACGTGTGCCCGGGACTCGGACAGGGTCGCCCCTGCGTTCCTCTCTGGCCCTGGAGCTGGTCACACTCTCCCCAGAGTGCAGGGGTGGTAGCTCGCCTGGTGTTGGATAGGCGACGTGACTCGATATGAGAATGAGTGAGGGAGAGGTTGACATGAGAGCGGGCCTTCCCTTTAACTATCATGTGACGTCAGTAAACCTACAGTCAAGTCCACTATAGTATTTTTATTTACTTTTTAAAAATATATTTTTATTGATTTCAGAGAGGAAGGGAGAAGGAGAGAGAGAGAGAGAGAAACATCAATGATGAGAGAGAATCATGGATCAGCTGCCTCCTGCACGCCCCCTACTGGGGATTGAGAGCCTGCAACCTGGGCATGTGCCCTGACTGGGAATCAAACCATAGGTTAACGCTCAACCATTGAGCCACACCAGCCGGGCCACTGTAGTACTTTTAGAACAGGATTTGAACTATATGCTTCTGCTACAAAAATACCATTAAAAATATCTACGTTGATTTTTTTGGGGAGGAAATAAACACCTAACCTTCATTTAGAAAGGTACTACGGAGAGTTCAGTAAATCTTTAAAAAGTCACCCGTCATAATGCTATGAAACACAACTCTCCTTTCTTTATGATGCCCTCTAAAAAACTTCAAAGCTGTCTGTGTGTGTGGGCGCTGGTTGTCTTGTGAGCTAGTTATTGTTGGTTTGTTTTTTATTTCCATCTCCCCACCCCCTCCCCCTTGACAGCCGTCAGCTTCTTCTCTGTCTCTGTGGGTCTGTTTCTGCTTCGTTTTGTTTATTAATTGTTCTTGTTCGTTTAGACCCCACATATACGTGAGGCCACGCAGTGTGTGTTTTTCTCTGACTTACTAGTATTTCACTCAGCGGCATACACTCCGGGTCGGTCTGTGTTGTTGCTGGCGAGGTTTCCCTCTTTCTCGTGCTGACCACTTTCCACTGTGTACGTGAGCCACGTCCTCCCTCTGTGCCCATCTATACATGACGCCGAGGCTGCTTCCACATCCTGGTTCTTACTGCTGATCCCGCAGGGAGCACAGGGGTGCACGTCTCTTTTTAAATTAGCGTTTTTATTTTCTTAGATAAATACCCAGAAGTGGAGTTGCTGGGTCGTGTGGCAGCTCCGTTTCGTCTGTTATTTGCAGGAATAACGTGCTGGGCCCTTTCACAGCTCCCCTGTAACGGATGAGTTCTACGATAACTGGGCTTTGTTTTTGGCAGGATCTGAGCAGCGGCGAGCTGCGAAGGGACATCTACATCACGGTGCACATCATCCGGATCGGTAGGTGTGACCCTGGCGGGGGGAGCACACGGGGAAGGCGTGCGGCGAGGCCTCTGTCCTTGTGACTTGCCCGCTGCCTGAATCAGAAAGACGTCGGAGCCGGAGCTGCGCCCGAGAATCCCAGAACGGGGGGCTTGCTCCCCGGCCTCCCCACTCCCGTGCAGCCCGCTCACCCGGCACAAGTCCTCGCAGGGTTTGCTGTTTCTTTTTGTTTCATGGGGCTCCCTGACCATTTGATTCAACAATTTTTTGTTCATCCTTTTTTTTATCCTCACCCAAGGAGTGAGGATACTTTTTCCATTGTTTTTTTTTTAAGAGAGTGGAAGGCAGGAGGGAAGAGGAGAGAGAGAGAGGCATGGATGTGAGAGAGACACATGGATCAGTTGCCTCCTGCCTGCGCCCCAGCTGGGGCCGGGGATCGAATCCAAAAGCAGGCACATGCCCTGGCAGAGGCACTTCCCTGCCTTTCGGACCCGGGCCTCCTGGCGCCTTCGTGGGACCTTGGGGAGGAGGCTTCCAGTGTGGGACCTGCTCCGTCCTCACGTTTCCTCGATGATCGAGGTCACGGCTAGGTCGTTGCGGGGGAGGGCCCCGAGCTGAAGCGGCATCTCCTGTCGCCCCAAACCTGTGTCCTTCCCGTGGCCAATGACATGATGATGGTGTGTGTGCCTCGTGAGGCCCAGATCCATGACTTCCTGGCCATGTCTGCTTCCCGTTGGCAGGTCGGATGGGGGCGGGAGAGAAGAAGAACGCCTGCAGCGTGCAGTACCGGCGCCCCTTTGGCTGCGCGGTCCTCAGCATCGCCGACCTGCTGACCGGGGAGACCAAGGACGACCTCATCCTGAAAGTGTACATGTAAGAGGCTGCCCGCGGGGGTGGGCACGGGGGTTGGGGCAGGCCAGGGCCCGGGAACCAGGGCCTACTGGGATCCGCCTAAGGACCTCACTTTACCTTGATTATTTGTGTAAAGACCATCCAGAAGTCGCGGCAGCGGGGGCCAAGGCAGAGGCTGTTAGGGGCAATCAGGCAGGCAGGTGAGCAGTTAGGGGCGATCAGGCAGGCAGGCAGGTGAGCGGTTAGGAGCCAGTGGTCCCGGATTGTAAGAGGGTGCAGGCCGGGCTGAGGAGGTTGCGGGAGCTGCAGGGAGGCGGGAGGGCGAACACTGGGTGGTGAGGACAGAGCCGCGGGCTGGACGTCACCGCTGCAGCTCACGGCCCCCACGCTGACAGAGGCCATGTCCCAGGTGCAACACGGAGAGCGAGTGGCACCAGATCCACGAGAACATCATCAAGAAGCTGAACGCACGCTACAACCTGACCGGCTCCAACGCGGGTGAGTGTGGGGGGCTGGCTCCAGGCGGGTGAGTGTGGGGGGCTAATTGGCTCCAGGCGGGTGAGTGTGGGGGGCTGATTGGCTCCAGGAGGGTGAGTGTGGGGGGCTGGTTCCAGGCGGTGAGTGTGGGGGGCTGGCTGGCTCTCCCGAGACCCCTCATTTCAGGTGCTCGCGTTGATTTGTCTGCATCAGAAGGAAATGATCATCAAGAAGCTGAACGCACGCTACAACCTGACCGGCTCCAACGCGGGTGAGTGTGGGGGGCTGGCTCCAGGCGGGTGAGTGTGGGGGGCTAATTGGCTCCAGGCGGGTGAGTGTGGGGGGCTGATTGGCTCCAGGCGGGTGAGTGTGGGGGGCTGGTTCCAGGCGGTGAGTGTGGGGGGCTGGCTGGCTCTCCCGAGACCCCTCATTTCAGGTGCTCGCGTTGATTTGTCTGCATCAGAAGGAAATGGTCTGCCTGGTTTTTCTCTCTATTCGCTCCCTAACTTTAAAATTGCGCAGCCAGCATCCCCTCCGAGAGGCATCTTGTGTTGTGACGGGAGGTGTGCACTGTATTCTCTCTAAAGTGTTCCGTTCAGGCTTGAAGTGAACAGAGCGCCTGCCTTTGCTAAGAGCACCCAGCCTTGGCCTCTGCGTTGTGTGATCCCTGAAAACCAGATGGCGAATGCACTGGCTCCTGGCCCTTGTGGGGAGAGGCCGGATGCACCGCGAGCTGGGGGAGGCGGGAACAGCAGCTTCCCTGCCGGGGCTGTGGCAGTGCCATCTCCCGGGAGCGCACGCGGCCCGGGCGGACTTGGTGTGGGAGAGGGATACCAGGGAACACGCACGCGGCCCAGGGCGGATGCGGCGTGGGAGAGCCATGTTGGCTGCCGTGCCATGTAGGTAACGTGTGCGTCTCGTTCAGAGGGACCTGGCACGTGGCACTGCATGGTAAGCTACATACCACGGGTCCACAGCCTTGTCCCGGTCACACAAGGTAGACTAGACCACATCGCCATGATGCCTCGCAGGCAGCCATGCCCTGAAGCCTGGTCAGCAGACAAAAGCTTGGGAAATGTTGTTAGCTCCCTACCCCCTTTCACACCCGTGTTGAAGCAAAAAACACACCACACACACACACACACACACGCACCGACAAAACAAAAAGCCCCACAGGAAACTGTGCCGTTGTGAGCTTTCTTTGACATGAAGGGGCCTCCAATGAGGCCAGCTGGTATTGGGCCGAATGCGTTGTTGTAAAGACCGAACAGGGGTGTTTGTGTTATCGTCCAACTTGCCTGGCGATCAGAAGAGCCAGCATTTCATTCAGACGCCCTCTTCTCTCACCCGCGCCCGCCCTGCTGGGCCAGACAGACCCCCAGAGAAACGGCAGCTGCAACGGGAACTCAGGGGTCAGTGCGGCCGGAGCCATCCGTCCCCCGAGCTCCCTGCCCGGCCTTGCGCGGTGAGGTCAGCTTTCTCCTCCCTCTCCCAGGAGGCGGGGAGGGACCTGGGTTTGTGTGACTCACCCGGAGTCTGACACTCCCACAAAATCCACAAGAGGCGAGGTGTGCTCTGGGCCTCGGGCAGGCTCCCTGCAGGACCAGGAGGGGACGGACACAGCGTGAGGTCGTGTGTGTGCGGAGAGACTGAGTGACAACAGCATGGACTCCAGGAAGGAAGGGGCACGGTCTCTTTCCTGGGCGGTTCCTCCCGGTGCTTAGTCTGTTTTTTTGTTTTTTAAATATTTTCATTTATTTCGGAGAGGAAGGGAGAGGGAGAGAGAAAGAGAAACATCAATGATGAGAGAATCATGCATCAGCTGCCTCCTGCACGCCCCCTCCTGGGGATTGAGTTTGAAACCCAGGCCTGTGCCCTGACCGGGAATCGAACCGTGACCTCCTGGTTCATAGGTTGACGCTCAACCACTGAGCCACGCCGGCCGGGTGGTGCTTAGTCTGTTTTACTGACCAGCCGCTGCTTATTCTTGCCGGAATCCCGGGTGAGACCAGAGGTGAGCTTCCCACCGCTTCGTTCCCGAGAGGTTCTGCTTGGAGCCATCGCACTACAGTGACAACCACGGAAGGCACCCTGGAAAGAGGGGAAAAAACCCTAGTCCCGGGGGGTCCTGGGTCAAGGGTGTCCCCCCTTTGGCAGAACCCAGCCCCTGTCCATTTGGAAAAAGACAAGACTAAGCCCATTGCTGCTTCCACTTGCATTTCTGCCCGTCCGTCTCGGCGGGGGCTTGTCCTGTGTCCCCTGGATCCACCCTGCTCCTGGACGAGGGGCAGTTGTAGGAACAGCCGTCAGCGAGGTGTGTGCGAGCCGCTGGGCTTCATTACTGAAAGGGAGGCTCTCTAATGAGTTTCTTAAAAAGAGTGGGGGTGCAGCACACACAGAATTGAAGTGGGAAGTGGGGTGCCTAATGTTCAGACGTCCCCCCCCGCCCCGCCCCCCGAGGTGGGATGTGTTGCCTTCCGCTGTTTTCTCCTTGGACGTGGAATTGTTGATTGAAAAGAAACGGAGCCGTCAGACGCTTTCAAGGGAATTGCGTCCACTCAGCAAATCAGTGCTTTTCCCACTGCGTTTCCCCTGCTGTTCTTTGGTCGTTGGTGCTAAAAACAGAAGAAAAAGAGTAACTGGAAATGAGTTTTAAAAGAAAGTTCTACCACTTAATTTCCTTTACGCTTCGCTGACGCCCTCCTCCCTCTCGCAGTTGTAATCCGGCGTGTTTCATACGTAAAGGGACTCGTCGAGTTAACTGGTTTCTCCCTCTAAACCTGAGATTCAAGTTGCAAAGGTACATTAACCACCGTCTTCGTTGTGTTTAGAAACTGGGAGGTAATTGCTAGTGTCCCTCTTAACTCTTAAAGACCAAAATAAAAAAACATTGAATTAGTATATTTCTTTGATCAGATTTAGTTAAGTTGAGTAACTTCAGATTTCCTAAGCTCTGCCCTGTGGGAAATCCAAAATACTGCCTGGCCGGTGTGGCTCAGTGGTTGAGTGTCGACCTATGAACCAGGAGGTCACGGTTCGAGTCCCAGTCGGGCACATGCTCTGGTTTCAGACTCAATCCCCAGTAGGGGGCATGCAGGAGGCAGCCGATCCATGATTCTCTCTCATCATTGATGTTTCTATCTCTCTCTTCCTCTCTGAAATCAATTAAAATATATTTTTAAAAAATCCAGGAGTACTCTGGTAAGAATTTGAAACTAAAAATATCTGCGAGGGTGACCCTGGTTTAGGCTTCGTGAGCAGATGGTTGTTGTGAGCGTCACCTGGGGTGGCCGTGCGCAGGGAATTGTAGGAATGCGGAGGGAGGCAGCGCCAGCTCTGTGACTGGAAATCAGTCTGTCAGAATCTCTGGCTCTGGTTCAGGGTGTCCTGAGAGAAACTTCGGAATCTCTCCCGCTTGTCTCCGTGGTTATGCAACCCGGTTTCCTGCACTTTGCACGCCTCGCTCACTACGGGCGGAGACCACGTGTGCGAGTTCGGTCCGTGCCCAGCTTTCTCTTGCATTAGAGAGAGGATGTGCGTGGAAGCCATCCTGCCAGCAACTCCCCCCCTCCCCCCCAGGAGGGCAGAGAGAGGTGCGTGGGCTCTGACCAGGAGGGCACTTTCACTCCTTGCATGGAGCTGTGGTGTGTTTAGTTGGCTGAGCTGAGAGCAGTTTTTGGGGAGACGTGGACTGCTGTGTGTGTGTGTTGGGGGGGGGGGCGGTTTGAGCAACCTCGCCTCACATGCCAGTGTCGTCATCTGAGTCACTGTGACTGAACTGTGTGATTCTGTATCTGTGCGGGAGCCTGGAACATCGATGCCTTTAGAAACAGCTGACCATTGGAAGTGGTACTTGTTGGCGCCACCTATCGGCTAGATGTGTAGCGTGTGACCTTTTGGCTCACCTTCGGGGTTTTCTGATTATGAAACTATGCTCTTTTAGTCTTTGTTTTCAGTTAATTTGGTTTGCAGAAATGTTGCAAGAATAGTGCAAAGAATTTCTGATTTCTCAACGGCGAACATTGTACTATATTTGTTTTATCCGTCTCTCTGTGTGTTTTTGTGTGTGTACACATATATATACACACATGTATGTATTCATCCTTTGCATATATATAAATATAGAGGGTTTTTAAAGTAGTTTTTGTGTATATATGTATATTCTCTCTCTGTATAGCCATTTAATGTTACTGAATTGTTATAATCTTTAAGAGTTGTATATACACATGTATGTATCCGTCTCTCTGACACGCATATCACACATACACGCATATCACACATACATACACACATTCTCCATCCTCAGGTGTCAGGCGTGACTCCCCTGTACTCTGCTCACCCCATCATGTAAGGACCACACTGCTCCGTCGGCCGCCCGGGCTGACCCCTCCTGTCTCTTCATGAGCCTGGCTCACGCCTGCACTCGGCTCTGCCCAGTGCTTCTGGCGGTGGCTCCACGGAGTCCCTTCCCAGCGGCGCCGTCTCCCTCAGCAGCACCCCGACCGGACGTCCTGACCAGAGACCCTGTCCTGACCTCCCATGGAAACCCCGCACCTGAGCCCGGGCTCCCTGCTTCCCGCAGCCAGGATGTAGCCCCCAGGGTTCTCTCCGGCCAGGAGTTGGACTCAAGTAACATATATGCTTCTAGTGTATTCACTTTATTTTTTAATAAAAAAATGTCTTTATTGATTTTTAGAGAGAGAAGAAGAGAGAGGGAGAGAAACAAAGACGTGAAAAAAGAACATCAGGCTGCCTCCTCTGTGCACCCCAGCCAGGGACCGAGCCTGCACCCCGGGCATGTGCCCTGACCGGGAATCGAACCACGGCCTTCTGGTTCATAGGGAAGCACTCAACCAGTGAGCCAGGCCGGCCGGGCAAGAATTACAACTGAATCTTGATAAGAACAGAGAGAGTTGGTGGCCCTTGTGCCACAGTCCGCTTCCCCCTCCCACCTGCCCCCGCTCAGCATGATGGGAATTCTGCTCCAGGTGGGTGTGGCCAAGAGCTGGAGCTCTTCTCCCCTCAGCTGTCAGTCAGGGATGCGGCCTCCCCAGCAGGTGAAGCCCGCCAACCTTGGTCATCGCTCAGCGCTGCGTGGCTGAATTTCTGGGAAAGGTGGCTGAGAGGCTGGGGCTCCCTTCTCCCACCCACCCCCACCCCAGGCAGGGACGGGCCTGGGTGCAGCCGGGAATCTCTGCAGATGTGGACAGCACGGTCACATGGCCACGGGAGCTGTGTCATGTGCTCTGTACACTGCACGCCTAACCATAATACGTGGTCAGTGTATTTATGACCGTTTCTCACTTTTTGCATTTCTGTCGCTATTCCCAGCTCTGTGTCATTTAGTTCATTGGTGGCAAAATGGCTGATCTAGTCGGAAATTAATTTCGCCAGCGACTTATGAATCATGCTGTGCTTGCCGTTTTTTTATGTGAAAGTGCAGAATCTCATGAATTTCAAAGGATGCCCCTCACAGAGCGAGTTGGCCTCACTTCCCGTGGAATGAGAGCCACCGGCTCTGGACCCCTGCGGTGTAACAGCCCCACGCCTTCCCTCCTGTGCTGCCTCAGGAGCCGAGCTTCGTCCCAAAGACCATGCTGTTTGTTACACGCTCTAGACTAATTGGTGACCGGGCCTTTCATTAAAATCAGAGCTCAGGCCCTGGCAGTTGGGTCCTAAACATCGAGGCAGATTGTTAAAAAGCTCAGTTTATACTGTTCTTGTTTACATTTGTGGGTGAATTGGCTGGCGTTTTTTGAATAAAACAGTTTAAATCCTGAAAAAAAAAAAAAAAAAAAAAAAAGCTCAGTTTAATGAGTGTTTCTTCTGGTAAAGGGGACTGTTCCCCCCTTAGCAATTTTATTTTGGGCCAGAAAAAAGGGGATTGTAAAACCCGATGGACCTGTTTTGTGAAATTAAAGTTTTCACCTAATTCTTCAGCTTATGTTGTTGGAAATCCCAGGTTTATCAAAAAATCCTCCCTGAACTTTCAAATGTCCTCAGTCAGTAACATTTCCCCCTTATTTGAACATTCCTGTTCCCCACTGCCCCATTCTGCCGATAGTCCTTGTGTCTGTGCGCTTTCCTTAATTTTCACTGAATTTATTGGGGTGACATTGGTTAGTAGAATGATGTAGGTTTCAGGTGTACAGGGCTGAATACGTCACCTGGATATTGTGCGTGTTTTGTCCGCTTTAACGGAAACGGAGTTGAGGATTTGGGAAGAGCCAGGTACGTGTGGGTGAGCCCTCGGTCCGGCTGGTCTTCCCAGTCCCTGACTCCCCGTGAGTTCCTTATTCCGGAGGAACTGGGTCACTTCAACAGGCAGTACCTTCTCCTCTCCTCCACACTCGTGTCACTCGGCTGGACAAATGAGATCATGACACACATCTTCCCAAACCTTCGGGGTGAAGCTAACACACCTTGTCGTCGAATTTTAGGGCCGCTCGGCTCCATGGCTTTCCTCTTCCCCCCCGGGGATGTCTGCATCCTCCTGTCACCTTCTCCTCGCCTCCCGCGTGCCTGACTGGCTCCTCTGTGCCCCGCTGGCTCCTCTGGGTCTGTCGCCCACACGGGCCTCTCTATCCTCTGCACCCTCATCTCTATGGCTCTGGCTGGCTGGAACATGGATGTGTTTCACTGTTCATGCTTCCACGTCTGTCTTTCCCTAGAACATACGTTTCCTCTGTTTCCCATCTTCACTTTTCTTCAGCATTCACATGGGCTCCAAATGTGTTTCTTCTCTCATTGCCTTATCCTCTGTAAAGTATTCTGCTTACATTAAAGAAAAACAACCACTGATGGTTACATAAATTTTGGCTCCGAAATAGCAGAATACGAATCCTGTCACGTTTCTTTCCTCCAGCCCCTGCCCCGAGTCGCGTGATCTCCTGGTGGTTGCTCTTTTCATTACCAGTTGGTTCTTCTCCCTCCTTGCCTCACATATACGTCATCACGCTCCCAGTGTCCTGGGCAGAGGCTGTGATGAGAAGTCCTGGGAGAGGGACCTTCACTTGCAGAAACTCACAGGACCTCAGACCGCTGTCCAATCCACCGGACCCTCCGCCTGGACGCGTGGCTCAGAGCGCCAGGCCGTGGGCATGTCCTGTGGGAGGGGCTGTCACTATGCAAGTGTCGGGCGCACACTGGTCTGCCTTCCCCAGATGCCAGCATCCCCAGGGGCGATGGGGACGGCGCTGGTGAGTATTCTGAAGGCAAAAAGACAGAAGTGGAGGAGAGTAGAGACACCAGTGATGAGTGGGGAGGTCATGGGAGAGAGTGCGTCAGGGAGAAACCGCTCCTGGGACGGAGGGATTGTAACACGTGAGCGAGTCTGGGTTTCCACGGGAACCCTGCTGTCGCCGGCAGATCATCTGGACCATTTTCCTCCCGTCGTCCAGCCCCTGCGGCTCTCAGAGGACAGATGGACAGGTGTGCTAGTCACCCAACTCAAATGGGGCGGCGAGGCCGGTGAAGGGGGCTGTGTGAAAATGGGACCCGGATTTAATTAAAGTTCCGAGTACCTGCCAGAGTTCATTCAATTCCCACAGCAACTCTGACACAGCGTGCTCTTAGGTCCACACCCAGGAGGCCTGGGGACGTGACGTGTGGGCGTGGCCTCCTGTCCGCTCCGCCCCTCAGGTCGCCAGGCCTCCTCTAGGTCGGATCTGGACCGGGAAAGGCTCCTCTCTGAGCCTCATGCTTTCCTGTAAAACAAATGCCCTTGATGTTTGAACGACTCTATTGAAAAGCACACCAACCAACAGGAAGCCCCGCTTCTGCTGTTATTTGTTGAATCCTATAGTAGAAGGAGGGCGAGAGGGAGAGCCCGTCCGGATGTATGTAAATCCGTCCCGCTTCTCTCTTCATTTCAGCGCGATCGCTGCCACTCTTACGTCTGTGTGTGTAGATGGCGTGGTGGTGCCCTAAGCCGTGATGGGGCGGGATCCCGGCTGACACGTGGAATGAGTGTTTCCTCCGGGTGCTGGGGAGAGAAGCCGGGGGAGGAGCCAGACCTCCCTTCTCAGGGTCCTGCTTACGGGTGTTCCGTCGCTATGAGCCTCCTTCCATGTGGGAACATTCAGGGATTAAGGCTTGAAAGTCTGCCCTAGAAATCATCCTATGGATTCTGGTGCTTTTGTCTAAATAGTGACCCTTAGTTTAAAACACAGGTACCTTGCCCGGCCGGTGTGTCTCAGTGGTTGAGCGTTGACTTATGAACCAGGAGGTCAGGGTTTGATTCCTGGTCAGGGCACATGCCCTGGTTTTAGGTTCGATCCCCAGTAGGGGGCGTGCAGGAGGCAGTCAATGGATGATTCTCATCATTGATGTTTCTATCTCCCTCTCCCTCTCCCTCTCCCTTCCTCTCTGACATCAATAAAAACCAATCAATGAACCCTGGTGCCCTGGTTTGGGCTTGGGGAGCACTTGGGTGTCTGGCCCCGGCCTGTGACCCCGCGCCCTCGTCTGTTCCAGGTTTGGCCGTGTCCCTGCAGCTGCTGCACGGAGACCTGGAGCAGATCCGCAGGGAGTACCCGTCGGTGTTTTCTCACGGCGTGTCCATCACCAGGAAGCTGGGCTTCTCCAACATCATCATGCCGGGTGAGTGGCTCGAGCTGCCCACGTGATGAAGTGGACGGGTTGTGTCTGTGTTCAACCCTGGAGACAGTTTTCAGATTTCGAAGCGTTCAGGTGGGCGAAGCTGGTGAATGAGAGGAGGCACAGCAAGCCCTCACTGACTGTCGTCGGCAGGTTCTGCGACTTTAGGCGAAAGGACGCATAATGAAGCCAGTTTTCCCGCAGGCGAACTAATGGAGAGAAACAGGAGTTCAGTTTCTGCCGCATCTCATCCGTCTTATAACGAAATGACCTGACTCGGGGACCTGCTGGGTGTGCTAAGAAGCAGCCGTGTTTTAATAGTACCTACACTTTGATGATGTGAGGGCAGGTGGTCTGGGAGGCGTGGCCGCGTGTCATCTGACTGTGATCGGAGGGAACATTGAGGTCGTGTCCAGAGAATGTCCCCCTCGGTGGGAAGTGTCAGTGACGTTGCTGAGAGGAAGCCCTGTAGGTCTAGATAAGAAGTTATTGAGCAACAGTTAGCCTTTCTTGGAGGATTTTGTCACCAGAGATATGTGTATATGTGTGTGTGTGTGTGTGTGTGTGTGTGTGTGTGTGTGCGCGCGCGCGCAGCCAAAACACACTCCAAAAGTGTTTCTCGGTGCTGGAGATGGGGAGAAGGGGGTTCGTGCTCTTTTTAGTGGGGTGGTCACATTGTAAGGTGTCAAAAATGTCAGATCGCTATGTTGTGCACTTGAAACTAATGTAACCCATATAATATTGTATACCGGCTACACTTAGATTATTTTAAAAATGAGGGGGGAAAGGAGATTCACACTCCTTTTTTATAAAATATATTTCTATTGATTTCAGAGAGGAAGGGAGAGGGAGAGAGAGAGAAACATCAGTGATGAGAGAGAATCATTGATTGGCTGCTTCCTCCACGTCCCCTACTGGGGATCGAGCCCGAAACCCGGGCACGTGCCCTTGACCGCAATGGAACCTGGGACCCTTCGGTCCATAGGCTGACGCTCTATCCACTGGGCCGAACCAGCCAGGCGAGATTCACACTCTTAAAGCAAATGCCAAGCGGTAGTATTTTCTCAAGCTCCACAGCCCCCTCCACCACCAAGAAAAAGGTAGGAAGAGCAGATGAAGAGGCTGCAGGGGCCCACGGGGTTTGTAGAAAGCAGGTCGTCTCAGTCACAGTCGAAACCCATGTGTCACAGCGTGAGGGGCAGTTGCTCTGAGAGGCCCAGGCATGGCCGAGAGTCGCTGTGAGCAGGGCCCTGACCTGGAGCTGAGATGGACTGCACGGTGCTCAGCGTCCTGTGGCCTCCCGGGGGGAGTCACCCCCGGAGGCCAGGAGAACAGCCGGAGTCTCCCGACCTGACCCTGCGCAGGGCCCGGCCCCGCATCCTGTGCATGTGGTCGAAAAACGCTGTGCACAGAACGGGGACCTTGGTGGCGGGCGATTCCGCTACTTGTTCCTTCTGTGCTATAAATACCTGGTATTTCCTCTTTAACAAAAAAGGAGAAGTGTCATCCCACCGGGAAGCTACAGGATGGGCAGATCTGATCTAAAAAACACATGTCGGCGGAGAAGGCCGCCAGCTGCGGGTCTCTGGGCAGGATCGGTGAGCCGTGGAAAATGTGAGGCCACGTGACAGACACTCTGTGGCCTGAGTCACTGTCTGGGACGTGCCTGCTCAGGCGCTTGGGTCCGGCTCTCATGATGGACAGGAACTTGCTGTGGAGTCAGGCTCGCTCCCGTCTCTCCCAAGCCAAGTCTCCTGGCGGCTGTGAGGTCACCGTGTCCAGGAATTCTGGAAAAGACGTGCCCTGTAACTGTGTCCTTGCGGGCCTGCCATTCTCTCCCCTTTGGGTGTTGCTTCTGCGCTGCGTGCCGGCGCCCGAGTGTCAGACTGGCTTCTTGGGGCTGTCATTCTGTCGTCGCATTCTGTCGTCCCACCTCATAGATGCCAGGAGGGAAATACTGGGAAATGGGGACATCGGACAGCGCCTTTCACCTCAACCCCAGGGGCGCCTCCTGGACGCACACGCTCGTTGTTGCGAATGCGGCCTGCAGAGGCGGCCTGACGGAGCGTGGAGACTGGCAGGGAGGGTGGGCGCCCTTTCCTAAAAGAATAAATAGAAAATGTGTGTGGAACCCTGCGCTTGATGAACGGAGCTTTCCTCCACAGACTCCTTTATTTCCCTCCCGAGCAGATGTAAAACGGCTTTAATCCCCCCCCTCCCCCCAGGTGAGATGAGGAACGACTTGTACATCACCGTGGAGAGGGGGGAGTTTGAGAAAGGAGGCAAGAGCGTGGCCAGGAACGTGGAGGTGACGATGTTCATCGTGGAGAGCGGCGGCCAGACCCTGAAGGTAAGGTGGTGGTTCGGGGTGAGACAGTCCCCTGCCATCGCTTTGGGCTCATCCGGAGCGAGATCCGTTAATTTCTGACTTGGAGTATTTTCCGTCTTCCCTTTCTTCTCTATCCCCGGGGATGTTTTAAATCATTAAAATGCCGTTCAGAAAGGAACGTCGGAAAGCTAACAGGCTTTTACAGTTTAATTGTTTAATTAACCGTGTCTACAATCTCCTCCTAGCCGTTATTCTGTAAATACAGTATTTTAAAGCCATTTCGTATTTTTCCCTTTCATCTGTCATGGTTTTGGAGACAAATACTTTCAATTGGCCATTGGTAAAAACAAACAAAAAAATCACACCTTTCATCCTGTGTATTTTCATTTTGACCAAAGGGAGGCGTGGAGACGGGTGTGAGGAGCTGGGGAGACGGCCCCGGGTTCTCTGTGGAAGGGTGTTCTGTGTGAGCTTCCCGGGGGCACAGCACGGCTTTCACTGCAGAGGGCAAGCTCTCTGCCGTGGACTCGACCTTCGCCTGGACTGTGCCATTGCCCACACACGTCACCGAGCCCCACCCGTGCACGGGGCCTGGGAGACCAGCCTCGGAGTGAAGCCGGCGCAGCGGAGCCAGCCCCATGGCCCGAGTGTGTGGGGGGGGGCAGGCAGATCCCGGAAGCCATCGCCCAGCTGCTTTCACAGCAATCTCCAGGGAGCTGCCTTTCATCACCCCTTTTCTCCGTCAGGACTTCATCTCCTTCGGCTCCGGGGAGCCCCCGGCCAGCGAGTACCACTCCTTCGTGCTGTACCACAACAACAGCCCGCGCTGGGCCGAGCTGCTGAAGCTGCCCATCCCCGTGGACAAGTTCCGGGGCGCACACATCCGCTTCGAGTTCCGGCATTGCTCCAGTGAGTGGCCCTGCCTCAGCTCGGCCGTGCGGGGTGTTGTGTGGATGAGGGGTGAGGGCGCCGGAGCGCAGCGTTTAATGGTTGATGTGGGGTAGATCCTCCCACTTGGCCACTTCGAACCGCCAACGGGATGTCACCGACTTGCCCTTGGGGAGCGGGATGCTCCGTGGGCCTCATGCTCCGTGGGCCTCATGTTCTCTGTGGGCCTCATGTTCTCTGTGGGCCTCGTGCTCCGTGGGCCTCCTGCTCCGTGGGCCTCGTGCTCCGTGGGTTTCGTGCCCAGGGGCAGCCGGCTCCCACGGGCCACCAGCATGTGGGTGATTCCAGAGCCGCGAGGCCGGGCGGGTTTCTAAGGAGTCCGTCTAGAGAGCAAAGGAGAGTCTGAGGATGATCCCACGGAGGGAGATCTTGGGAGAGGGGGAGGGAGGCACGGCTGAGGTTAGGAAGGAGTAGCCGGTGAGGCGGGAGGAGAGTCGGGGGCTGAGTGAAGAGACACTTTCCAGAGGGATCGAGCAGACGTGTCTGTCAGGTGCCAGTGATCAACTGAGGCAAAGACGGGGAATGATCATGACTTTTGCTTACTTTGTAAAGAATATTGACATTTGCCCAGCTTCACTCTGGAGCTGAAATGAATGATTAAAAAAGAAAATCCTGTGTGATCATTCCGTTTTCAGGGATGGCCTCGTGCGGGGGCCAGAGCCAGCAGGCAGGACAGCGGGTCTCTGTGTGGGGTCCTCTCGGGGGTTAAATGCAGAAGCAGCTGTAAGGGAGGGACATTTGCCTGAAGCCTCGTGTCTGACCGTCAAGGTCACCGTGTCTAACTCCCCCTCAGGTCTCACCTCCGAGCTGGGCTTGCCCATCCCGTGTCAGGCTCCACGTGCGGCCTGTGTGGGGAGGAGCAGCCACCAGGCCCTGGGACGCCTCCCTGCCTATCACCAGGCAGGAGGAGGCCCTGGCGGGTGGCTCCTTGGTTAGAGCGCCGTGTCGATACACCAACGTTGTGGGTTTGATTCCCAGTCAGGACACATACAAAAATCAACCAATGAATGCATGAATATTGGAGCAACACATCGGTGTTCCTCTCTCTCCCCTTTCCTTCTCTCTCTAAAATCAATCAATAAAAAACTAAAATAGATAAGTGTAGAAGGAGAGTGGAGTTGAACACACAGGCTCCCGAAAGCTTGCTCCAGGTTTCGGAGGAAGGTAGCGGCGGGAATCGGGAGGTCTAGGCCGCGCACCTCCCATCTGTGATCTCAGCTTCCTTATCCACACAGCCGTTGCAGTTCTCAGTCAGGCACCTGAAAACCATGGCCCTACTTCCAGCTTCCAGACCCTATGCAGCGAGCCCTGCCGCCGTCCTCTGCTTTCCCGCTGTTCCCAGCGTGGCTGGCAGGTTCCCAGGAGGCGGCAGCCCGGGCATGTGCCCTGACCGGGAATCAAACTGTGACCTCCCAGTTCATAGGTTGATGCTCAGCCACTGAGCCACGCTGGCCGGGCTCGAGACCCCTTTCTGTGTGTAGCAAGCGAAACACTGCATTTCACATGCGTTAGCTCATACATGCAGTCACATGTGTTTCTTGAGAACCTCCTGTGGTCTTGCCACTCACTCTTGGAGACACCAAGCTTAGAATAAAACAAAGCAGAGAAGAAACCTGCCCTCCGTGGAGCTTACATCCCCAAGTGGGGGGTGGGATGTGATAAGAAAGGGGCGATACACAAATGAAAGAAGAATACCCGTCATTTCCGATAATGAGCCCACGAAGCAGATACCTTGGTTGCTGATCGATGTTTCTCTCTCATCGATGTTTCTAACTCTCTACCCCTCTTCCTTCCTCTCTGTAAAAAATCAATAAAGTATATATTTAAAACAAAAACAAAAACAGAGAAGGAACCTGCCCTCCGTGGAGCTTACATCCCCGAGTGGGGGGTGGGATGTGATAAGAAAGGGGTGATACACAAATGAAAGGAGAATACCCGTCATTTCAGATAATGAGCCCACGAAGCAAGTTAGTCAAGGAGTGGAAATTGCTGTCGAAGGGGCAGGGATGGGGGCGGAGGGGCCGCTGCCGACAGAGCTCCGTGGCTGGATGACTTGATCAGCAGCTTCTCCACAGCCTGTGTCTCTGAGCCTTGTGTCGGCAGGTGCTGACGTGAGCCAGTAAGTCGTCGCCATCTTTGTTTTTCCCCACAGCCAAGGAGAAGGGCGAGAAGAAGCTGTTTGGCTTCTCCTTCATCCCCCTGATGCAGGAGGACGGCAGGACGCTCCCAGACGGCACGCACGAGCTCATCGTGCACAAGGTAACGCGAGCGGGGGCTGGCGGTGGCAGGTCCCGTGTCCCCCAAGATGCCGGGGGTCCACGTGGCACCACCATCCGGCTTAGGGGTGTAACTGGGTTTTCCTGGGGTGACAAAAACGTCTATCAACTCTATGCAGTGTCGTTTCTATGTTCTTTAAGATGAGCTAGCTCAGCCCAGCTGGTGTGGCTCAGTGGTTGCACCAAGAGGTCACCGGTGCGATTCCTGGTCAGGCATATGCCCGGGTTGCAGGCTCGAGCCCCAGTAGGGGGCGGGCAGGAGGCAGCCAATCAATGATTCTCTCTCATAGATTTTCTATCTCCCTTTCCCTCTCCCTTCCTCTCTGACATCAATAAAAACATGTAAAAAAGAACCCCGGTGGTGCGTGGTGAGTTAGGAGCATGCCGAAAGCCTCCGAGAACTAGGACGGACAGGCTGTGAGACAGATGGGCAGCGCCTGTGGGCCGCGCGGTAGAGGGGGTGTCGCCCTCGGCACGCCCACGTGGGTGTGATGACAGCCCGTCCCCCACGCCCAGGGCCCTCGGCCTCTCGCTGGAGGAGGATTGAGGGCTGCTCCATGGGCATCGCGGATGTCCGTTTCCTCTGTCCCGTTCCCGCTGGTTTCAGCACGGAATGACCATCCTTGTCTGAAGAGAGACTTACATCAGGAATGTGAAGCTGTCTGTTATTAGATCTGCAGTTCTTCTTACCTTTGTTAGCGGCGTTTTCTGGGAGGGAGAGATCCCCCTCGGAGATGGGACTGTCAGGGTCCCCTGAAATACCGTCCCCTCCGGTCGCCCGTCCTCAAAGGAAGGAGTTGTTTCAAAGCTGCCTCAGCTGAGCTGTTGGAAGAACTTGAGTGTTTTTTCCAAAATTCTGTGCTGCCCACCAGCCAGGCGCAGTGCACGGCTCCCTCTGTTCTGCTCCTCATGACCACACCAGGGGCTTTGAGATGGGCAGGGAGGTCCCACGGGGTAAGGAGCGTGGGGCAGCCCCTCGTGTGGGAAGTGTCAGAGCTGGGGTTCCACCCAGCCGGTCCCGGTCCGAACCCGAGCCTCGTTCCTCTTACACACCTCTGCCGAATTCCACTTCAAAGCCAGAATCTACTCGTGATTCTGTTTAGAGTGTCTCCCGGGTCATAAACACGAGAGCCGGAAACTGTAATTCTCAGGAGGCCTCCTTTCTTTCTGTTTTTGAACAGTGCGAAGAAAACACGAGCCTTCAGGACCCTACCCGCTACCTCAAGCTCCCCTTCTCCAAGGGCCTGCTCCTTGGGACTAGCAACCTCGCCCCCAAGACCACAAAGGAGTCTTTTTGGATCACGTCGTTCCTCTGTTCCACGAAACTCACCCAGAACGGTAGCGTCCCACCCTCTCGGGGTGCAGGGCTGGGGTTTGGTGGGCCTCGTCGGTCACCAGCCGGCAGTTCAGACCCTGGAGGAGCGTGACCCCTCTGGGGGGGTTGGGGGGGATGCCCAGGAAAACGGGACCATCCTGACCCGGGTCTGTACAATGCATGTCACGTGAGGGCCTCATAATGACCCAGGATTGGAGCTCACGTACACAGCTTTCCAATCAACCCTCAAAACCACCTGCTTAAAAAAAAGAGAATAAGCCGGACCAGTGTGGCTCAGTGGTTGAGCACTGACCTATGAAGCAAGAGGTCCCGGTTCTATTTCCCGGTCAGGGCACCTACGTGAGGCAGCCAATCGATGAGTCTCTCTCATGTTTCTCTCTCTCCCGTCCTCTCTGAAATCAATAAAAATATATTTTTTAAAAAGAGAGAATAAAATGAGAGAAAGAACGCCACCACCTTCCTCTCCCTGGTTTCTGGCTCCATAGACGCGGCAGTTGCAGGCTGTGGCGTAAGCCAGTTGGTGTTTAACTAGGCGGGGACGGCTTTGGGGTGCAGGTTCCTGTGTGTGGCAGGGCGTTTAGGAAGCGATGAGTAATGAAGCAAGGTGATCTGCTGGGCGAACCGTTCTGAAAGCCACGTCTGTGATGCGGGGAGTCAGACACGCCGGGGTTCTTCCTCGTCGCCACATGACGCGTCTGGCGCGCACCCCGAAGTCCGCGTGAATGAGTCGGGGGCCTGGTGTTGAGGAGAGCCACTCGCAGGGAGGCATCGCGCCTGGTGAAGCACTGTGCCTGCGCAGGGCTCAGAGCTGCCGGTCTCTCGGAGGCGCAGGGCGGTGGTGTTGGTGGCGGGAGATGATGTCTCCTTGTGGGCATCGGGCAAAATGTGTCCTGTCAACACGGACCCCTTAGCAGACACCTCTGGGTTCCTTGGGCCACTGTCTGTTTCTGTACGCAGGGCCGGGGACACGGTTCTCTCAGGCTTATCTTCGTTTCGGTTTCTCCCCTTCCAGAGTATCTCTGGAGATGTATTTTTTTGTTTTTAAATCAGCAGCATCCTCTATTTTGGGGGACCTTGACGGAAGGCTCTTAGCCCCAGGTTAAGAGATGCCACGTTGCCCAGACTTTATCAGTCAGTGGGTGGTGATGTTCCCTAAATAAGGCCGCATGGGCAGAGCGCTGTGTGGACTATCAAGCATTTACCAAACCTGGAGCATGTTGGGGGGCCAGTCTCCCGCCCTGGGGGTTGTGGGTGCTGGGAACACAGCGGGGCCGAGGCTGGCATGGCTTGCTGCCTTGGGTTCTCAGCCCGGCGGGGCGCAGACAGACAGCCACAGCCTGGAACGCGTGCTCTCGGGTGAGGCATGAATTTCTGTTCTGTTCGAAGGCGACATGCTTGACCTTCTGAAGTGGAGAACCCACCCCGACAAGATCCCAGGCTGCCTCTCCAAGTTAAAAGAGATCGACGGCTCTGAGATCGTCAAGGTACACGCGGTCCCCGTCCCTCTCGGGGCCCTCGGGATGGGGCTGGTCGCTGGTCCCTGCCCCTCTCGGGGCCCTCGGGGTGAGGGGGGCGGACGCTGGTCCCTGTCCCTCGAAGGGCCCTCGGGGTGGGGCTGGCTGGAGGGGAAGGACAGCCCCCATTTGATGGGGGATTTCCTTCTTCTCTCCCTAACAGTTTCTGCAAGACACCCTGGACACCTTGTTCGGGATTTTAGATGAAAATTCCCAAAAGTATGGGTCGAAAGTGTTTGATTCTCTGGTGAGTTTGCATTCCCTTTCATCACATCTTAACAGTGTCGCCTGTCCCTCTGGACTCGCCTAAGGCCATTCCGGAAATGGACACTTGAGAGCGTGAGGATTCGCTTAAAACTCACAAAACGGCCTGTGCTTGCCTGTGGTTTCCTAAAGCTCCGTTTTCTTCTTAGGTTCACATCATAAATTTGCTACAAGACAGCAAATTCCATCACTTCAAGCCAGTGATGGACACGTACATCGAGAGCCACTTCGCCGGGGCCCTGGCGTACAGGTGAGCCCTTTCCCCTGGCGTCGCTTTAGCACCGCGTCATGGGCGCTTTTCTAAGCAGGCCCTCCGCCCGTTTCCCCCGCACTTTAGGGACCTCATCAAGGTGCTCAAGTGGTACGTGGACCGGATCACGGAGGCGGAGCGGCAGGAGCACATCCAGGAGGTGCTGAAGGTAACCTCAGACGAGGCCTCTCGGGGTGCTGGGCGTGGCGATGCCTCGGGGAACAGGCCCCTCCACGCAGACGGGTGGGGGGTGGCGCTCACTGCACCCCAGGGATCTGACTCGCACCCCGGCCGCTGCAGAGCTGGGGACACTGGAAGGGACCCGCCAGGCTCGCCCACGGCACCCGCTCGGGATGCACCTTCCTCCTCTGGGCGCCTGAACCCCTGGGGTCTGGGCTGGCAGGAGGGGGTTTGTGTGAGGACCGTGGGTGAGCAGTCACACTGGCCGTTCCTGGCTCTGGCTTTTATCACCATCTGGGAGCGATTCTCCTGACATTTGCAGAGAGAATGGGTGCTGAGCAGGGACCACGGAAGGGAAACAGGTTTTACCGGGTCTCCTAGTTTAACACTGTCCACCTCCCGGGGCCGCGTGCTCAGGTGCACGTGGAGATGCTGAGACCTCACTTGCACACATGTCCAAAGAGAACACAGCTTCTTAACGGGATGGCCCGGGAACTACCCGGCCGTCTCCCGACGCTGGCTGTGGGGCACCGCCCTATGCCATGTCGGTGGAGGAAGGTAGACAAGTAGGCACTTATTAGGATACGTGGATCACTGGGCCTGCTTGAAGGGAAGATACTAAGTGGCGAGAGTACATACTAACAAAGCAAAATTACTTTAGAGAACAGACTTCTTTTGTTAATTTAAAAATCTCTGAGGATTAAAACATTTTGTTTTTGCCTCTGAAGAATTACATAGAATTTTTATAGTGATGTATTTAAAATTAAAAAAAAATTGTTCAATGATAGCGGACATTCAGTATTATACTAGTGTCAGGTGCACAGCATGGCGGGTAGACATGTGTGTAACTTACGAAGGGGTGAGGCCCCCCATGAGTCTAGGACCACCTGACACCGTATGACAATATCATGTAGCTATGACAGTATTAACGACTGTCCTCCCTCTGCTGTGCGTCACCTCCCTGTGACTATTCTGTCAGTCTAGGACCACCTGACACCGTATGACAATATCATGTCACTATGACAGTATTAACGACTGTCCTCCCTCTGTGCGTCACCTCCCTGTGACTATTCTGTAACTGCCAGCTTATACTTCTCACTCCCTTCCCCTCTCCCCCGGCCCCCTGCTCCCTCCCCTCTGGCAGCCACGCAGAGAAATGTTAAGTGATCTAGACGTCTTCCCTCATTAGGCCTCAGAGAAAAGGGACTCTTCTCCGACATATAAGTGCTGTTCAGAACCTCCCGGTCCTTTGCGTTAAAATCGGGGATTTGAAGTCTAACGCTGTCCCGGCTCCCTGTCTGTCCTTGTGTGTCAGTGCCTTGCGCTCACTGAGGGTCACCGTGTCCCCGTTGTGCTGCAGGCCCAGGAGTACATCTTCAAGTACATAGTGCAGTCGCGCCGGCTGTTCTCGCTGGCCACGGGCGGGCAGCACGAGGAGGAGTTCCGCTGCTGCATCCGCGAGCTGCTCCTGTCCGTGCGCTTCTTCCTCTCGCAGGAGAGCAAAGGGGCCGGGCCACTCTCTCAGTCCCAGGTGCGTGTCTTTTCTTTTTACATATATTTTTTATTGCCCTGGACAGTGTGGCTCAGTGGATAGAGCGTCGGCCTGCAGACCAAAGGGTCCCGGCTTCGACTCTGGTCAAGGGCAGCTATCTCCGTTGCAGGCTGCTCCTCGACCTGGGCCCTGGTCGGGGCACTTGCAGGAGGCAACCATAATTTCAGAGAGGAAAGGAGAGGGAGAGGGAGATAGAAGCATCAATGATGAGAGAGAATCATTGATTGGCTGCCTCCTGCACCCCCCACACTGGGGATGGAGCCCGCAACCCGGGCATGTGCCCTGACTGGGACTTGAACTGTGACCTCCTGGTTCACAGGTTGAAGCTCAATCAACCCCTGAGCCACAGCGGCCGGGCCTCCCTGATGTCTCCCAGCTCGTTGCTGAGAGTATGCCGGGAGTTGACCTGCATTTCTCTCTTGAAGGCCGTGTTCCTGAGCTCCTTCCCCGCCGTGTACTCGGAGCTGCTGAAGCTCTTCGACGTCCGGGAAGTGGCCAACCTGGTGCAGGACACGCTGGGCAGCCTGCCCACCCTCCTGCACGTGGACGAGACGCTGCAGGCGGTGAAGCTGCAGTGCATCGGCCAGACCGTGGAGAGCCAGCTCTACACCAACCCAGGTGGGCGTCCCGCAGGGCAGAGTGCGCAGGGCAGCTCCCACGCCCGCCTCACCTCCGTGGCCGCGGGGCAGCGAAGCTGTTCAGGTGGGAGACGCCAGCCTCCTTCTCCACGGCCCTGGGCCCGGGTGGTGGGATAAACCTGTTGAGGAGCCAGGCACACGCGTATGGCTACTCAACCCTGTTTCTAGAAGGAAGGGAAGTCCTGCTGGTGAGGGACTGGCCCCTCGGTGGGTGTAGGTGCGCTTCCTTGTCCTGTGAGGCCTGTGTGTTTGTGCGGGCGCTGAGGAAGGCTCCCTCCCGCCCTGAGTCCTTGGTTTGCACCCTCTGATGTGTATTAGGAAGAGAGTCACATACGCCTTTTCCCATGAGACACCTCACTACTGGCTGGGACCAGGCCAGTGCTGCACCAACAGGCGGATGTGGCCGCCCTCGCCTTGTCTGTGGCCTTAAGGAGACAGCTCTGCTGTGCAGCGTTGTGTTCGCTGGAGGCGGGCACTTCACTAATGCCCTTCACTATTCACCTGACGGAATGACCTTCCGTCCTTCGCTTCTTGGCCTTTTTTATCACGAGCCGATGCTGATCTTGCCTGGTTTCTCTGCATCCGCTGTTAGTGTTGTGAATTGCACCGATGGAGGGTTCGGCCTTAAATCCTCAAGATAGACTCTGTTTAATCATAGTGAGATATGTATCAACCCGCATGGGTGTTGGTGACATTTTACATGGAGGTTTGCCTCTGTGTTGAGGGAGGTACCCATCTGTGGTTTTTTTAATCTTGTAATGTCGTTGGCCGATGTGGGCCTCGGCGATGCTTGCCTCCTTCAGTGAGTCCGTGTGGTCCCTGTTTGCTTGGTTTTCTGGGAGAATTCACACCGACTTGTTACGGTTTCTTCTATAAAATGCTTCATAGGATTCATAGGAGCCACGTGGGCCTGGAATTTTCCTTGTAGGTTTCTAACAAGTTTAATTCCTTTGATCAGCATAGAGGTCCTTAGGTTATCCATTTTTTATGAACAAGTCAAGTGGAATTATAATTTATGCAAATGTAAGACCCATGGGTGTTTATAAACCAAGAGTTACTCCTCTGAGTTGTGCCCGAGGAGTTTACCCCCTGGATGAAGTGAATGCGATGGGCCTGGAGCAGAGAATCAGATGCTGCTAAATGGGGGATGGGGCTCCCCCGACAGACAGGCCTCACCATTAGACAGAGACCCACCAGCCATGGCCGGGCCTGGCCTGACAAGTCACTGACAGGTGTGGGCTCGTGCTGCCCAGGAGGGGTCTGGCAGGTTCCTCCACAGGGAGACTGACCAGCTGAGAGAAGAGCTTCTGAAGTGGGGGCTCCTCCCTTCGTGCCCCGCAGCAAAGCCTCGCCTGCCCACAAACTGGGTGCTCACTGGTGATGAGGGGTGACCATGGAAAGGGAAGAAACGGACAAAGAAGAACTTGAAAGAAAAAGATACTTCAGTGAGAAAATAAACAAAACATCAAGAAAAGAGTCTGATTTCCCAAGAGACAAACCGTGCAGGCGTGAAACAAGGATGGGCGATATCGGGAGAGGTCACCCCAAGAAGCAAACATGAGCAGCCACGTCAGGAAATGCAAGCGTCTGGTCTGAAAATTACTCTGAATTTCCTGGTGCAGCGACGGCCTAGAGCAGTGATGGCAAACCAACAAAGATTTATATTTTTGATATTTACTTTATATATTTAAATGCCATTTAACAAAAATCAACCAAAAAAATGAGTTCATGTGTCACCTCTGACACGCGTGTCATAGGTTCGCCATCACTGGCCTAGAGCAAGTGTGCCCCTCGGACCCCAGGGCCTGTGTCCCTGCCCAGCTTGCAGGCCCGGGACACTGGCCTGGGAAGGAAGGAGAGACCCTTGGAGCAGAAATATATCGTAGCATAAACAGGGAAACTTAATCGAAGGCTTGGGGGGGTAAAGTAAGGAAATAGCCCAGAAAGTTGGACAAAAAATAAGATTAAAAAAAAAAAGTCAGAAAAAGTAGAAGATAGTTTAAGATTTTCTAAAAGAGGGATCTCTTACCCTTGGAGGCAGCATGGAGGGACCCGGAGAGCATTATGTTAAGCAAAATAAGCCAGTCAGAGGAAGACAAGTACCACAGGATCTCACTCGTATGTGGAATCTAATGAACAAAATAAACTGATGAACAAAACAGATCCCGAGACATAGAAGCATGAACAGACTAAGGAATCTCAGAGGGAAGAGGGGAGAGGCGGGAAGAGATGGACCAGAGAACTCATATGCATATATGCATAACCCATGGACAGAGACAATAGTGTGGTGAAGGCCTGGGGTGGGGGTGGAGGGTCAATGGGGGGGAAAAGGACATCTGTAATACTTTCAACAATAAAGGCGAATTTAAAAGAGAGAGAGAGAGAGATTCATGACGTGAATATAGGCAAAGTTCCAGACACAGGACAGAAAATAATGAAAGGGAAGGAAATCATCGTAGCCATAATTCACGGCAAGTTCCCCGAGCGGAGGGATATGAGTTCATGGATTGAAGAGACCAAAAGACAAGGAATAATCATGAAATTTTGAATTACCAGGAATAATTTCCCAAAAGCTTTCAAAAAGAGATGGACTAAACCAAAACCAAGCAGGACTCCAGCCACGCACGGAGGGCTGGACGTCAGGATGGCGGCACACCCCCAGGGTTCATTTCTCTCTGTGCCCCGAGTCTTCAGTGGGGCTGGGAGCCGAGAGGCAGTGAAATAAACCGCATCCTGTCCGCCCTCTGGGAAGCCAGGGGGTGACCCATCTCAGTGGAAAACCAGGAAATGGCCCGAGAAGCATGCCATTCTGATATTTGGAGGTAAAACAAGCAACTTTTTAAAAAAACATTTCTTTTTTAAAAACATATATTTTTATTGATTTCAGAGAGGAAGAGAGAAGGAGAGAGAGAAATAGAAACATCAATGATGAGAATCATGGATCGGCTGCCTCCTGCACGCCCCATGTTGGGGATCGAGCTCGCAACCTGGGCATGTGCCCTTGACTGGAATCGAACCCTATTTCAGTAAAAGAGTGAAAACCCTTTTGCGTGCAGGAATTGTGGGTTGGGAAAAGGAGCTACTGGCTTTGAACATGGACAGTGTGGGACTGGTACCTTCTTAGCTACCTGTGCCAACAAGGTATCCATCATCCCGTTCCTGCTGATGATGAAGTGGGAGGAAGGGGCTGTGCAGGGACGCTGACGGCTCCTCCCTGCAGATTCCAGGTGCATCCTGCTGCCCGTGGTCCTGCATCACCTGCACATGCACCTGCGGCAGCAGAAGGACCTGGTCGCATGTGCACGCATCCTCAGCAACGTGTTCTGCCTCAGCAAGAAGAACAGCTCGGTGAGTAGACACCCGTCCTCGCAGCCCGGCCCAGCCCGGCCCGGCCCGCGGCTCCCGGACCTAAAGCCTTAACTATCTTCAAAGACCCCCGTGGAGTCACCCCTGACGCCCTCCCTTCCATCTGCAGCTGGGTTGGACTTTGTGCTTTTCCTCTGGTGGAATTTTTTTTCATCTTGCGTGGTGGCTGTAACCCCCAATAACCTGGGCTTCCAAAGCTTGTATTTCAAGAAAGAACCGTGTCCCCAGGTAGGAAGAGGAGACTCCACGCCTCCCACGTGTCTTTTTATTTTTTTCAACATATTTTTATTGATTTCAGGGAGGAAGGGAGAGGGAGAGATAGAAACATCAGTGATGAGAGAGAATCATTGATTGGCTGCCTCTTGCACACCCCACTGAGCATGGAGCCTGCAACCCGGGCATGTGCCCTGACCTCCTGGTTCATAGGTTAACACTCAAGGCCACACGCTGTCAGCGGCCTGGCTGGGCTCTGAATCTGTCCCAGGGCCTCACCCCGCTTTGTATGTGGGTCCCAGGCACCTGCTGCACAGCCGGCGTGTGTGCTGGGGGTCAGCTCCTCGCTGCCTCCGCCCTGGTTTTCTGTAAGAAGGTCGTTCCCGGGGCTGACCCAGGGGACGTCCAGGGCCGCACAGCTCCAAGTTCTCCGACGCCTCCTTCTCTACTTGGAAACGCTCTTTCCCCCTTCCCTGAGAGAGCGGAGCGCCGTGAGCAGAACGCCCTGAGCACGTGGGCCTTTCTCTCTGCAGGAGAAGTCCGTGCTGGAGGAGATCGACGTGATCGTGGCCAGCCTGCTGGACATCCTGCTGCGGACCATCCTGGAGATCACCAGCCGCCCGCAGGCCTCCGGCCCCGCCACGCGGCTCCACTTCCAGGATGTCACCGTGAGTCCCCAGCCAGCGGCCGCGGGGCCGGGCGTGTGCGGGCCAAAGCCGTGGTCGCTGGGAGGGTGGGTGCTGCGGGAATCTGGGCTCTGGCCTTGGGTGTCGAGCACAAGAACTTCGGACAAGCACAGCAGAGTGTGGTCAGACGGGCCTGTGCTCTGCTGGGTGTCCGCATGCCCACGGGCCGGGCAGAATCTCATGCAAAGGAAGCAGCATTTGTAACCGCGAGGGTCCCGAGGCCCGGGATGGAGGTTGTGGACCGATGGCCATGCGTGTTACTGCGTGGAAGCTGCCTCCCGCGCGGTTAGATATTGGAAAGGGAACCTGTTACTAGGGTGTTGTTTTCTCCAGCCGGAGAGAGCTTTTTAAAGTTCAAAGAACAGTTGGTGGAAGAACAAAATGTACCATCCTTCTTAATTTTTTAAAAATATGTTTTTATTGATTTCAGAGAGGAAGCGAGAGGGAGATGGAGATAGGAACATCCATGATGAGAGAGAATCATTGATCAGCTGCCTCCTGCACGCCCCCTACTGGGGACCGAGCCCACAACCCGGGCCTGTGCCCTGACTGGGAATTGAACGGTGACCTCCTGGTTCATAGGTCGTTGCTCAACCACAGAGCCATGCTGGCCAGGCCATCTTTCTTCTTTAAATAAGTATTATACTGCCTACCTCAGTGATGGCGAACCTATGACACGCGTGTCAGAGGTGACACGCGAACTCATTTTTTTTGGTTGATTTTTCTTTGTTAAATGGCATTTAAATATATAAAATAAATATCAAAAATATAAGTCTTTGTTTTACTATGGTTGCAAATATCAAAAAATTTCTATATGTGACACGGCACCAGAGTTAAGTTAGGATTTTTCAAAATGCTGACACGCCGAGCTCAGAAGGTTCGCCATCACTGGCCTACCTCATAGCATTGATGGCGTAATGAATGAAGGCGTAGTAACTGCTGAATAAACGGTTAGGGGCCTCATTGCCATGCCTCCTTGCGTGTGTGCAGTTACTTCCCTAGTGAGAAGCTTTCACCCCAGTGAGGAATTTCATTCTGAATTTAGAAATTCATGTACAACAAGGAAATGGTTCTCTGGGGAGAGACTTTGTGACATTATGGTGAATTTAGAGTAAGAAGACTTCATAGAGGGAGTTTGGGTCATAGTGGGGTTTTTTTTTCAATTGTCTATCTTAGAGTAGTTTAAAGCAAGTCACTGATGGGTCTATGTCTTATTGAAAAACATGCTTGTCTGTTTGTGTTTTAATTAGGGGGAGTTTGTTGCTTGTCTCCTGTCCCTGTTACGACAAATGACAGACAGGCATTATCAGCAGCTTCTTGACAGTTTCAGTACAAAGGAAGAACTGAGGGTAAGTGACAGTTAAACAGTTTTTTAATGTCCCTTTTTAACTTCTCTCGCTCTTCTTCAACGTTGTCCGGACAGTCCCTTGACAGTTGCTTTACTACTTTCCATTAAACTGTAAGCTGCTTTTTCTCTGCTTTGTCCACGCATCTGCTCATTCGTGTTGGCTCTGTCAGGCAAGTATGTCAAACTCGCGGCCGGCATGCGGCCTACTGGCTGTAAGTTTGACATGCTTGCTGTAAAGTTTCTATGCTCATGCAAAGTAATTAACTCTTATCTTGGACAAGAACGTAGCATTGAAAACACCTGTCATCAGCGTGCAACAGGCCAGAAACAGAGTAACAGAGCTAAGGAGACTAACCATAGTTCAGTGGCCTTGGGAATATTGTCCTCAGGGAAGATACGGACTTACTGAGATATGTTGGCTGGTTCCATCCCTATGAAACCCCCGTGAGAGATTCCGGCTGCTGTGTGCTGATATGGGAGGCAGAGTTGAGGCTGATATTCTCGGTCAGCCTGTAGCCTAAGCCATACGCTATGCTTGTCTGACACGCTGACGTGCAATAAAAAACATTGATGTTTCTAAATATCTGGTCTTGGCCGAGATTTAGGGCACTCTGCTGCTTCCTTCATGGCATTCCCTGAGAGCTTGGAAGTTGATTGTCCTCAGTGGGAGAAAGGACCTGTCGTCTGTCCTTTTGTTGCTTTTATTTCTCTCCATCCCTCCAGTTTTCCTCTGGGGACCCAGACATTATCAACAGCTTCATAGTGGGAAGGTTCTGAACTGCTAGGGGTGAAGTCTAGGCCGGTGGGGACGGTCGCCCTGACGGTACACGACTGGAAGCCTTCCCGGGGCCTTGGGGGGGACTTGTACATTTTAAAAAACATAGACAATGCGTACGGGTCACGTATCTCTGACTCTGAACTGCCTGGAGGAGGTCGTCTAATCTCAGAAGAATCCGTCAGCCACTCCGAGCGGTCGGCAGCTGAGTCAGAGGAAGCGAAGAGTAGGCTCGGGCAGATGTAGACTCGAGCGGGTGGGTGATGGGCATGTTCATGCTCAAGCCCGAGCCCCCATGCTTACCTTCACTCTTGAGTTGAGGATTTCAGTGGGTGAGAAGCGTTGGACCGCTACACACAGAAGGCCACCTTGTGGTGGAAAAGGAGGATAATGCTGCAGTGATGAACTTCCATCGGATGTGGAGGAGCCCTTCTTCACTGAGGAAGTCTGGCCGTCACAGTTCAGTCTTTAAAATCCCCAGAGTTATTAAGGGCAGCAAAGTCCTGCCATTTCTCCTCGGCGGCCCGCGCGTGCTGTGGGCGCGTGGCGTGAGGCACAGTGTCGCAGAAGTGCGTGGGTGCGGGGCCAGAGGCTGCCGCTCGGCCTTGTTAATTCTTCCCTTCTCTGGGACACGGCGTTATTTTAGAAATGAACAAAAGCAAAAAGTAAGAAGTGATTAGGGTTTTTTTCCTTCCTTCTGTCGTCAGTAATGGTTTATTATACACCCACCTTCTCCTGCGGGCCGACATTCATCCGCGTCCCTGGCATTTTATGTGGGAGGAGAGCAGTGAGGGTCCTGTGCTCTGTGGATTATGACTTTCCATGCAGAACTGTGGGGCGGCCTTTAAGGCGTGAGGTTGGTTATACACGTTCCGGCAGTTACGTAGGACATTGTGACCTTTCATTGTCTTTTATGTACTGGCTCAAAAACCCTATCTGCCCGGCTGGTGTGGCTCCGTGGTTGAGCGTCGACCTATGAATCAGGAGGTCACGGTTCGATTCCCAGTCAGGGCACATGCCCAGGTTGTGAGCTCAATCCCCAGTGTGGGGTGTGCAGGAGGCAGCCCATCAGTGATTCTCTCTCCTCATTGATGCTTCTCTCTCTCCCTCTTCCTTCCTCTCTGAAATCAACAAAAATGTATTTTTTAAAAATCCTATCTGATTAAGCCTCACTCCAACTTGAAGCCTTGAGGACTCCACGTTACCTACAGGACAGAGCCCAGGTCTCAGCAAGTCTTCGCGGTCCTCAGTCTACCTTCTCTCCACAGTTCCTCGGCCGCTTTCAAACCCCTCGCCCCAGACAAACATTGTTCCTAACAAACCACATGCATACGTTTTAATTCATCGGGATCTTCTTTTTGTGTTTTTTTTGTGTGAATCCTCACCTGAGGATATTTTTTTCGTTGAATTTTTAGAGAGTAGAAGGGAGGAGGAGAGGCAGAAAGAGAGAAACATGGATGAGAGAGAGACATATCGATTAGTTGCCTCCCTCACGTGCCCTGACCAGGGCTGCGGGGGTGGGGATCAAGCTCACAATCGAGATACGTGCCTTTGCCTGGAATCAAACCTGTTCTCAATGTATGGGTTGATGTCAAAGCGGCTAAAATAAATTCTTGTCTAAATATTTGCAAGCTTGAGCAGAGCTGTCGGAGTATGTTACACACACGCACACACACACACACACACACACACGTACACACAGCATGTTTCTTAGTTTTTAAGAGTCTGCCTTTCTGCCTTCTGATGATTTGAGTGACAATCATAATCTTATATTCAAACAGCTTACATGTTTAACATAATGTGTTATTGGGTTTGACAAAGAAAACTTTTGTGTTTGGGGTTGTGGTTGTTGTTTTTACATTTTCGGCAACACCATACTGTTGCCTTCAATCAAATTGTTAGAGATATTTTCCTAGTAGCCCTTCAGGTTACAACAAAAATTCTTTAAGGGTCAGTTAATGAATCTAAATCGAAGCTAGACTGCACTGATCTCTTTTTGAGTCGGGCCAGCTACGTTTCTTCACTCCATGCGGTGTGTGACCACGTGCTGTGGCCTCCGGGGCCCCACCCTGATACGGTGTGAAAGGGAGGTATCGCCACCTCTGACAACAGCGTGTTTCCAGGTGACCTGTGGAAAAACATCTCCAGAAATGCCATCGCCCTCTGGCCTGACATCTCTGAGAGGAATGCCTGCACAGGCCATTGTAATTGGAAAATAAATTTTACGTAAGAGGGGAGTGTTTCTGCACTACCCTAGCTGCGAAGCATGGGTCGCTGGGTCCACTCACACCATCGTGTGTGAGTGGGCGCACACATGTGTGTACGTGCGTGTGCATTACAATAACCAATTAACGCAGTGAGATGGTCTGTTTCTTCCTCACCCAAGGACTTCCTGCTGCAGATATTCACTGTGTTCCGAATATTGATACGGCCCGAGATGTTCCCCAAGGACTGGACTGTCATGCGCCTGGTGGCTAACAAGTAAGACCTTTTTTAAAAAAATATATTTTTATTGTCTTTTTAGAAAGAGAGGAAGGGAGAGAGAGAGAAACATCAATGATGAAAGAGAATCATTGATCAGCTGCCCACAACCTAGATATGTGCCCCAATCAGGAATCAAACCAGTGACCTCCTGGTTCATAGGTCAGTGCTCAACCACTGAGCCACACTGGCCAGGCTAGTACGACTTCTATATTGATGATACTTGAAGCTCATCATCCAGGGTTAGAGCAGAGGACAACAAGATGTTTTTAGTTTGATGTCAAGCTCAAAGCTGCCAAGTCCTGGGGTCCTTTTCCTCTGCCTTTGAATTACCTTCTCTCACTGCTTTTAAAAAAAACCACTACTACTTGTTTTAAACAGGTGGTACATTACCATGGTTCAAAGTCACATAGGAGGCACCGATCAGTGATTCTCATTGATGTTTCTGTTCCTCTCTCCCTCTCCCTTCCTCTCTGAAATGAATAAAAATGTATTTTTTAAAAATCGAACAATAGAACAGATAGATGATGCCCTGAGAAACCCCACCCCCTCCTTGTTTATCCCCTGCCCAGCCTGGGGAAACCACCTGTTAGTTTAGTTACTTCCTCGGTCCCTGCACCAGGGTCCCTAAATCTGCGCCTCGAAGGAGGCAGAATGTGGGCGTTCTTCTGCACATGGCTCTTTCCTTCACACTCCTGGCGATCATCCCACAGTCGTACATGCAAAGCCCCTTGTTCTTTTCTGTTTTGTTTTGTTTTTTTTCCCTTTTCTTTTCCTTGTACAACTGTATAGTATTCTTCCGCCTTGGTGTGGAGCTCCTAACTTTCTCTGTGTTACTTTGATCCCTAGCGTGATCATCACAACGGTTCTCTACCTGTCAGACGCACTTCGTAAGAACTTCTTAAATGAAAACTTCGATTATAAGGTAAGTATTACACGCACAACTATTCGACTTGGGGTAAAGGTTTCACCTGGCACTCAAGGAAATGGCCTCATTTGTTTGTTTTCTCTTAATCATAGGAAAGTAAATTTATTCTGGCTTCCTCAAATTCACCTCGGGCCATCTACAAGAGTTTTCATTACATGTGTGAGCAAGTCAGGGCTATATGGTGCTTACCCGCCGGGTGGAATCGCAGTGCCTAAGTGGAGACAGTGCTGTGTCATAACCAGAATTTTAAAAAAATATTTGTTTTATTGACTTCAGAGAGGAAGAGAGAGGGAGAGAGAAAAAAATCAATGATGAGAGAGAATCATCGATTAGCTGCCTCATGCATGCCCCCCACTGGAGATTGAGCCCGCAACCCAGGCATGTGCCCTGACCAGGAATCGAACTGTGACCTCCTGGTTCAGAGGTCGGTGCTCAACCACTGAGTCACGTTGGCTGGGCTCGTTACCATATTTTTTAATTTCTTTTCTTCTCTTCGTGACCCTCATGCATGACTAAGGGGACTTAGAACATAATGTTTTTAAGACCTATCTTAAGATAGAGTTTATATGAAGAAAACGCTTACAAAGTAATCCCATTTTTTAGAATAAATTAATGCAAAGGAAAAAAAATGATTAGTAAAGTTTTCCAAGGCAGAACTCTGTGTCTGTGATGTGCCTGGGTCTCTAATAAGAGTTTTTGACCTACTTTTTCAGGGGCAAACAAGAAATGGTGAAGAGGTGGGCGGGGCTGTGCTGCCTCTCCTTCAGGATGTCTATGCTTTGGGGCATCTTTATTTCCTATTATTTTTTAAATAACATCTTTCACATTCAACATTTAATAAAATGTCCTTATGGGTTAACTAGAAAATAAAAAAAAAACCCACATATATAATAAGACCAATGGAATTTTAATGGTTGCATAATATTTCTTTATATCAGACCTTATATCAGACTTTATAATAATTAACTTATCAAAATTTCATAACCAAAGCTCTACTTTTTAATACTTTGGTTGTTTCTAATTTTGTTCCTATAAATTATTCTTTTTTATGTACATCCTTACAAAATAAAACTTGGCATATGTCCCCAATTATTTCTTTGAATAAATGTTTATAAGTGGAATTGCTGAGTTAAAGGTTGTACCACCCATTTGATTATCTATATCGGCACCAACACTGGGAGATAATTTTTTTTTGACAATTTGATGAGATAAAATCTTTTTTGCTCTAATTTGCATTTCTTAATAGTTATTAGTTATTGACTAAAATCCATATTTTGTGAATTGTCATTCTGGACCTTTGTTCATTATTTTGCGGGGGTTCTATCATACTTTTTAATTGTGAGAACTCTTTATATATGAAAGATATTAACCCTTTTTAATTTTACTTGGTATCAATAGAGAAGTAGTTTCTTTCATTATATCTTATCTTTTTGGTTAAGTTTATTGTCAGCAATTTTATTCTGATCTCTCTCTGATGCTGTTTTGGGGATAAGAAAACTTTGAATCAAAAGATTTGTCTGGGCAGGGAATTTTTATATACTGTCTGAATTTAAAGCAATTAGCATTTCCAAAGAAGTGTATGCATCCTTTTGAGTTCTACATTGAAAGGAGTTCCAAAAAGGAATTCGCACAGGAATAAAGTGATTCATCTCATACCTCTGCCTCCTTGGAGACACACAGTTATAAGAGAAACGGAATATATTCCATTTAAATATACCAGAGAGCTTCTGACACCTGTGACAACACATGGGAGCAATATAGAAAAAGAGAGTATTTATTTAGTTTACTTCTTTATTGTAGGACATTTAAAGCATATGTAAAAGTAGGGAGAGCAGCATAAGGAACTCCCGTGTACCCATAACCAGCTTCTACTGTTATCAACTCAGGACCATCTGATGATATCAGCCATACCCTCTCCACTTACCTCTCCACGTATCATCTCACTTCCCCTGTAAATATTTCTGTGATAACATAGTACATAAATCTTTAATTTTTGTTTCAGATCTGGGATTCCTACTTTTTCCTCGCGGTCATTTTTATAAACCAGCTGTGTCTGCAATTGGAGATGTTCACACCTTCCAAAAAGAAAAAGGTATTAGAAAAGTAAGTACCAGTGTGTAATCAGATGGGAGCATGAGGCATACCAAGTGCAGTGCCTTTTAAAGGGTGTTTAGTTCAAACGATTCATCGATTAGATGTTCATGCCGGAAATTACAATGGAGAGGTGATGACCAAGAGGACAAGAAGCAGTCTTTTCTGGGAATTTCAATATTTTGAACTTATTTAAACTTTTTTATTTGTCATCAGTCTTTCAGGATTCAAAATTACTACCAAAGTGAACATTATGAGGCAAATCTGTTTTATTAAAGATTTATATGAAGATTTGAATTAGAGGCATCAAGGCATGCACATTGAAATCTTTCATTAAACACATACTGACTTTTAACTCAGACTGATAGTATCCTAGAGACACAGATCTGTCTTTGTTCCGAAGGCCCTGTATCAGGTCTGGTGTTTGTTCTGTTTCAGGTATGGCGACATGCGGGTGACAATGGGCTGTGAGATCTTCAGCATGTGGCAAAACCTGGGTAAGTGATAAAAAGAGAAGCCACGGGCATTTCACAGCTCAGCACCGCACTTTTCACTGTCTGAGTGAAGAGGGCAATTTACCAAGGACAGGATTTGAAACCAAGTGTCTAAATCAGTGAAGGTATCCATACAAAGTAATGACACATTGGCATTGGTTAGGGTTACAACTAATTCTTTAAATTGCTGTCTGCCTGAAAAAAGTCACCTCATCTTCATGAGTTTCATTATTATGGAGTGATAAATTTTATAATCCAGCTCACTCCAGTAATACAAACAACTTTAGCAGTGTGTTAAGAACCTTTTGGAATTTGGAACTGTAACACCTCGAAATTTCTAGGACTCCGAATCCTACCAAATTTAGATTAAACTTCATGGAAATGGACTTGAGCATCACTACTCTTTAAAAAATTTGAAACCATTGACCTATATCATGAAGAGTATAGTCAAAGGATGTAAAGGCATCTGCAGTTGCTAGGAAACCATTAGCTAATTTTGTTAGCCAATCACAGCAGACAGAGTGCAGTATTCCAGCAAATTGATGGCACAGGTTTAGTTACATAGAAAAGAATATTTGGAAAATAGACTGTTCCAAAATCTCCTTGGCAGAGGGTTTCTATTATTTACTATTTAATTTGGTATGTTACTCATTTATGTTAACTACACACGTGTGTAGTGTCCATTCACTACCACTGTGTGGTTCCTCCTTGTGGTTTGTTAAAGGGATGAACCTATTTGAATCGAATGTGCGATGACCTGAAGGTATCTTTGCTCTGGGGCTCCTCTGAGCACAGCATGGCGATGGCAGGGTGTGTTTTCTGTACGTGAAAATAGAAGCATCATCTTTTGACTTACATTCATGTCACAGAGTGATTTTTGACCGGGACACGTATAGTTCTCAAACATGCAGAGCCATTTGAGGAAGCCCCATTGTATAGGTAATTGAGCTCCGTGCTCTTGTGGCTGTTTATTTAGGCTCTTGTCCACGCTCCGGTGAGAAGGCTGGGGCAGGGTCGTTTGGGTAGCAGGTTAGAAACATGGCAGTTGTCCCTCTGGGATAAATTGTAGCATCGCTGTGCATGGTTATTTCCATGGCAGCCTTGGTCCACACCAGGAGACCTGTGCACGTAGGCGCAGGAACCCTGGCTTGCTCAGTTCAGTGGGCACCTTGAGTCTCCCTACAGATGTCATTGCATGCATCATCAGTGTTTCTCCTCTGTGCTGTCTTTCTTTTTCTTTAAAGTTTATAGTTTATTAATCCTCTCATGAAAAATCTGCACAACCATCACAGATAAAGTCACCGAAGAATCTTTACTCCTTCCTTTTGCCAGCACCAACATTGGCCTTTGCAGTACCCTAACTTTCTTCATTCTGTTCTTGCATTCCTTTCTCTGTTTTCTTGAAGTCTTCTTCTTCTCATATAGGCCATGTCTTGCAAGTCTGTGTTTGGGTTCATTTTTCTTTGCATAATCCAAGGAATCGTAAATCATGCCAAAGCCAGTGGTCTTGCCACCACCAACGTGGGTTCTGAATCCAAACACAAAGATGACATCAGGTGTGGTCTTATACGTTTTGGCTAGTTCTTCCTGAATTTCTGTCTTGGGTACTGTTGCCCTCCCAGGGTGAAGGACATCAATGACCATTTGCTTCCGCTGAAGTCCTCTGTTGGTCATGAACTTCCTGGTCCGGATAGTTACGTGTCATTCATGATGAAGGTTGATGTTCTCTGTGCTGTCTTTCAAATAAATATTTGTGACCTTTCTGGGTTTTAGATTAAATGGCTTCTTTGGGAAGAAGAAATTGGAAAGTTGGATAATCCCATAAATTAGTCTAACATCCAGCTTTTATTAACAATTCCCTGAATGTCTTAAAATGTCATTTACAGTCCAGCCAGCGGGGCTCAGTGGTTGAGCATCGACCTATGAACCAGGAGGTCAGGGTTTGATTCCTGGTCAGGGCACATGCCGGGTTGCGGGCTCGATCCCCACCCAGTGTGGGGAGTGCAGGAGGCGACCGATCAATGACTCTCTCATCATTGATGTTTCTCTTTCCCTTCCTCTCTGAAATCAATAAAAACACATTTTAAAACAAACACGTCCTTTACAGCTGGTTTCGGATGGACTCTATTTGGGTTGCGAGGGAAAGAAACCCGCTGGGAAATCTAGAGGCTGTAAACCTGGGCGGTCTGACCCTTAATGGGTGCGGTTAGGGCCTAGGACAGCGCGGGGACCAGCAGCCAGCGGCCCGGCAGCTCTTAGGAACCAGCCCTGGTTCCGCCCAGACCTGGGGAAACTGGCGCTGCGGGGGCACAGCGCCTGGGTCCCCACGTGCTCCCGAGGATCCTCGGCACTTGGTAGATGAGCAGCCCCGCTTCAGGCAGCCCTGGCCCCGGCTCTGCTTTTCCGGCCCAGCAGACGGCTCAGCACAGCGCCAGGCCTCCGCGTGCAGGCGCCTCACGCTCCCCACGTTCCTCACGCTCCTCTCGCTTCTTCACGCTCCTCACGCTCACGTTTCCTCACACTCATGTTTCCTCTCGCTTCCTCACGCTCCCCACGTTCCTCATGCTCCTCTCGCTTCTTCGCGCTCCTCACGTTTGTTCCTCACATTTCCTCACGTTTCCTCTCGCTTCCTCACGCTGCTCCGCCGTCCTGACGCTCCTCAGGCTCCTCCTGGTTCCTCACGCTCCCCCGCTCCACCGCCGGTCCCCGCAGGACAGGGCTCAGGGGCGGGGAGGTGACTGCTGTGCCGTGGCTGCTGTGCCATTTCCCCAGAGCGGAGTCCTGGCTTCGCGGCAGGTGAGCTAGGCCGTGGCTCTGGCTCCACAGCCGCCTGGGGAGGCGCCCAGGAATGACCCCTCCCCCTGCCTCCCTGCGCCCCGGGTTTTTCCCCCAGGCCAGGCCTGCCTGCTGCGCTGCGGGACTCCCTCCCCCGTTTGGCCTCCATCGTCCTGCCTGGATGGGACGTGGCTTTCCTCCTGGATTTAGGTGAACTGACGCTCCCACTAAACAGAAGGCGGCCCTTCCTTCGCGTTTGCAAGCCCTGCATCTCGTGGCCGCTGTGGGAGCAGCCGGCCCCCCACCCCCACGCCTGCTCTGAGGGCCTGACC